TGGGTTACACTGTCCAATGTTAACAGTTGGAAGAATCAGCCCTCACCCAGGGTTAACTGCTCCCCGGAAACACTTCACATTAAATGCAAAATATGTGCGCGTTTTTCATGCTACAATATAAATATGTGTTAATGTTGCACTCACACCAAGTGGAAGATGCGACACTTGCTCACACTGCAACACTTAAATGTTTTTCTCACTCGTTTCTTGTGAATGTTTATTGTATTTCCTGGTTTTCACAACAGTGAGGAAGATGTTGGGGTGGATAATAAGAACTTTCAGTGCAAGGGAAAAAATCGCACCACTGGTGACACTTAAAATCACTTGTGCTCTTTCACTTAGATTGTTCAGTGTTGACGACCCCGTTTAGGGCAGGAGAGATAAAAGTTGAAACAGATAGAGATCATTTACTACTGTGCAGAACCAATAACGCATTGAAATTGCTGGGAACGCATCAAAGCCCCTAACTTGTACATGTTGGAAAAAGAGAGATACACGATAATATATACTGTATGCACGTGGAAAGTATTTGAGGGCCTGGTCCCAAATTTGCAAACTGCTATAACATACTGGAGCAAGAGATATGGGACGAAATGTAAAATAAAATTAACGAAACGCAAGTACACCTTGGGCACAATAAGAGAACATTGTATCAACATCCGTGATAGCAGATTATTCAACATTTTGCACTAGTTTCTTGCAAATTGTTATGGTAATGTGGCTGGTATAATAATATGCATGGAGGCGACTGTTAGTGCTAGCCTCACGCCAAGGCCGTAAGTCCTGTAAGAGAGTGAGAGAAAGGAGACGTCTGGCTTTCCTGCGCCAAAGTGTGAGAGCGATAATAATGTGCGCTGCACTGCGCTCTAACATAAACTATGTTCACTAGGTGGCAGCACAGGTGCTAGGAGCAGCAAGGCGCAAAATACGAAGACTTGACTGGGCTGGCTGACAAGTGTCACAAACTCTGCCGGAACAAATGTAGGAGTCTTAAAGATGAAATTGTACAAGTACTGTGAAGGATGTGTGGGCCAGCGGGCCGCCAGGCAGCAACAACCTGGTTGTTGCTGCCTGGCAAACCCGTAGAGGTGATCAAGACTGATCCATGGAGGGAATGGCACCTCTAAATCCGTAGATCAAAGTCGACATGAGAGTCGAATGATCCAAATACGTAGTTTTTTTTTTTTCGTTACCGCTGCCAGCCCCAATAATCATATATCTTACATAACCAATCATCTTCCAGAATTCAAGAGCACAATGTTGTGTTCCTGCCGGGCAGAGACAAAGTACAGAATATGCCGCAGATATGCTAATTCATTAACACTTCACATAGATATGTGTAATACCCTGAAACACCAAATAGGGAGTCGCAGTGCTCTTGATATAGAGCAGCTGGACCGGAGTTATGGAGTTCCTTTGTTATAAAGAATATGGAGCAGCTGGACCGGAGTTACAGAGTTCCTTTGTTATAAAGAATATGGAGCAGCTGGACCGGAGTTATGGGGTTCCTTTGTTATAAAGACTATGGAGCAGCTGGACCTGAGTTAGAGTTCCTGTGTTAGACACAAGTATAAGATTCACTAGCAGTAGTACTCGGTGGTGTCTGGAGAAGAGTTTTAGATCTAGGCGAAACACTCAAGACTTTGAAGAATGAGACACTTGAATAAATTTGGGAATCTTTATTGAGGAAACGTTTCGCCAGTCAGTGGGTTCTTCAGTCCAGTAGAGAGAATAACAGAGGAAGACGAGGAGTTTGAGGCAGTCAGTCCCTCAGTTTGGAGTTGATGTGTTCAGATCATCAATCTTGAAAGGTGGTGGTAAATGCCACCAACTCCGGAACCCTCTCCAGGTATACCTGGAGTATACCTGAATCAATCCAGGTATACCTGGATTGATAAACAATACAATAAGTCCAGCTGGAGTCTGGACATACGTTCCTCTTGTATACTTTTGCAGTGTTCGTCCTTATGTTCTTATGTCTTGGACCTGTCTAGCATGGGCCAGTAGGCCTCCTGCAGTGCTCCTTCTTTCTTATGTTGAGGAGTGAATGAGAGTGTGAAGCAGTCAAGAGGAACCTGAGGTGTGTGTGAGGTGCAGCAGGTGGGTGAAGTGTGTGTGAGGTGCAGCAGGTGGGTGAAGTGTGTGTGTGAGGTGCAGCAGGTGGGTGAAGTGTGTGTTTGAGGTGCAGCAGGTGGGTAAAGTGTGTGTGAGGTGCAGCAGGTGGATGAGGTGTGTGTGAGGTGCAGCAGGTGGGTGAGCTTTGGGGAGTGAAGGTGGTAGGGAGGGGATAGTGGGCAATTAAAAGAAGGGGAAAGCAGGTATGGCAGGAAAAAATACTTCACCGACTTGTAATACAATATGTTGAAGCAGTGATGATGTGGGTTGACACCTTCCATCACGGCAGTTACTGTTGTCATGTTGTGAACTCTGACACGGGAGAGAGAGAGAGAGAGAGAGAGAGAGAGAGAGAGAGAGAGAGAGAGAACTTCAGGGAAAGGATTACTGTAGTCCACAGCGCTGCTGCGTTCAAGTCCTTACCTACATTTGTGTTAAACTGCTTGCCATGAGGTTTCATGTCAATGTTTTTACGTCATTGTTGATTTTGTTTACTGTCCTGAGGGTCTGTGTGAGGGCACCTTGTGATCTCTCTTTTTGAATGGAAATAGGTCGAGTAATATAGGTCTTTGTGTATGATTTGTTTAGAAATGATACGAGAGAGAGAGAAAGGTGACGAGCAAAGATGTAAGCAAGCAGAGTTAATTAGAGAGATAAGAGTGAGGTGGTTGTGTGTGTGTGTGTGTGTGTGTGTGTGTGTGTGTGTTGTGTGTGTGTGTGTGTGTGTGTGTGTGTGTTGTGCGAGCGTGCGTGCGTGCGTGCGTGCGTGTGTGTGTGTGTGTGTGTGTGTGTGTGTGTGTGTGTTGTGTGTGTGTGCGTGCGTGCTTGCGTGCGTGTGTGTGTGGTGTGTGTGTGTGTGTGTTGTGTGTGTGTGTGTGTGTGTGTGTGTGTGTGTGTGTGTGTGTGTGTGTGTGTGTACCAGTTACTGGGAGCAAATCTTGCAAGAGGCAGACAGCATCTTTCTCTACTCATCACTACCAAATTGCATTACGTGTGCTCCACCAGCTTCACAGATATTGTTGTAACAGTATATTCTCCACTCTCTCTCTCTCTCTCTCTCTCTCTCATCTCTCTCTCTCTCTCCTCTCTCTCTCTCTCTCTCTCTCTCTCTCTCTCTCCTCTCTACTCTCTCTCTCTCTCTCTCCTCTCTCTCTCTCTCACGCACACACCTCCATATTACTTAACGTTGACATTGTTGAACGAGGGCTAGGGGATAAAAGGTCGTGCATGAAACACGTCATGTTAATGATGGTAGCCACGGAACAAGTGTTGACTATTGTAGAGGCGTTGTATATGGTAAGCCTGTCCGTCTGCCCATATCTTAAGCCTGCCTGAATCTGAGAGGCCTGAGGCCTAGCTACGTGGTTCAAACAGGGGTCACATGACTAACGCTTGGTCAGGGAGGCCTGCCTATAAATGTTGCTAGATGTGGAAATTTATTTGTACCAAGAAAATCCGGGTTTGTATGTAAATGTACCAAAAAATGCCGGGTTTGTATGTTAATGGGGTCGCGGTCACAGTAATGGCGAGTGTTGCATCGCGCCCTTACAGCCCACTATCACAGTAATGGCGAGTGTTGCATCGCGCCCTTACAGCCCACTAACATACCCATAATTACGGGAGCTAACTTTAAGATTAGTATATTATTTGATAGATTTAGGCCTTAATGATTTAGATAGGCATCAGTTGTTAGTAAATAATATTAGAAGTGTAACGATTTGACAAAGTTCCTGGAGAGCGAAACGTTGTCACAATAAACTCTCACATAGTTGCATTTGTGTCCTTTTACTTAACATATTGTCGGTAATTCTACCAATATTAATACAATATTATAATTAATAATGTAGCCATAGATATTAATACTATGTTACATTAGGTAATGAGATTAGGTACATTGTGAAAACTAGCATCCCTGAGCAAGGTTTTATGGGGGTTCTCAAGACCCGGGAGCTTTCTTGTAGCATCAACAGCATTCGGGATAACAACTCGAAGGAGGTCCAAGCTCACTCCCCTCAGGGAAGGCTCCTTGATGTTGGTGAGGGGCTCTTGATTTAGGGAATTGGATCTGTGCTCCAGTTCCCCGAATTAAACCTGAATGCCTGCCACATCCCCCCGGGCGCTGTATAATCCTACGGGTTTAGCGCTTCCCCCTTGATTATAATAATAATAATAATAATCCAAGCTCACTAACCCACGCTCTCTACAAAATGTTTCGCCTGCCGTGAATATTTGGTGTTTTCCCAGGCTCCCGTCGTCAGCATTACTGTTGTTTTTCTGTTAGTATTAGTCAGCTGACAGTATTTTGGTGAACATAGGGTAACATAGCAATGGGTTGTGTGTGGGAGAGAGCCCAGATACGAGGTAATTATAACCAGGGTTGCTCAGTAATTATCCCTTGAATATTAGGCCAGAAGCTAGTGACCCTTTATGCACATAAATATTAGTTAGGGGATTCCCAATGAATTAAGGACTCTCAAGGTGTAGGCTGTGGTTAATAATAACAATTATGTCTTTATTTCTACAAGGCCTAGCTGACATCAATGACATACCACTATATAAAAAGCCCCTTGTTATGTAGAACATTTCGGGCAAATTAGATTCCACAACACAAATAAGTCTGTTCTAGTTTGTGCTTGGAGACAGGAATTTCCTGCAGGTCAGTTAATCCTTTAAAAAGAAGTGTAAATATAGGGGTACTTGTGAGAGCATGACAGAGGAATCTTGTGTTATCTGTGTCAACAGTGACTGCCAGAGTGGAGCATCTCAAAAGTTCTCACACCAGGAAATATATAAGTATACTTCCCAAGTAATACTGTTGACAGTGTGTGTAATAACTAGTTAGAGAGTTTAAGTTAGTACTAACTACTGTGTCTCCTCTTCCTCAGGGATCTGCGCTTCAACAAGATCAGGAGTATCCCCACCAACCACTTCAAGGACCTCAAACATCTCCACACCTTGTAAGTACCCAACTACCTTTAATATTTGTGGGACTAAGAGTATTAGGAGCGAGAGATATGGAAGTGTAAAGTAGAACCAGTGTAAAGCAAAGGAGCTACAGGCACAATAAGAGAGCGCTGTGTCAACATCCATGGGCTTGTTCTTTTCAACTGTTGCCAGCAGATATCAGAAATATTGCTGGAACCCGTGTAGAAATCTTCAAGAAGGAAACTGGGTCACTACCTTCGCTGTGGGCCAGATCAACGAGGCTGTGGTGGATAGCTAGGCCGGAGGACTACCAGCAGCAACAGCCTAATCGACCAAATAATCAACAGGAAGGCCTGACCCTGGCCAGGCAGGAGAAGTAAGAAAACTGAAACAGGTCACAGGTAAACCACCCAAAAAAGAAATCATGAATGTATGAAACACACTGACTCAGCCAGTATGAAAGACACTGACTCAACCAGTATGAAAGACACTGACTCAACCAGTATGAAAGACACTGACTCAACCAGTATGAAAGACACTGACTCAACCAGTATGAAAGACACTGACTCAACCAGTAATAAGAAGACGTTAATTAAGCTAAAAACAGATACAAACAAGAGAAGTTTAGTGCTGAAGGAACTTTATGAATCTGAGAGAGAGAGAAAGAAGAGTCAAGACTGACTATCTCAGGGTAAAGAGGGCAGCAGGAGAGCATTGTTAGTAGAAGATAGTAACCATCTAGCTCTGAGCTCTGCCTCCTCCACAACCACATCAGTGTCATGTTAACAACTATATATAACTGTAATGACTCGTATGTAAGTCATGGATGTGTTTACCATTCTTAACACATTTAATTAGATGACTTTGAGTGCAAGATGAATAAAGATAACACTAATATTAGGTCACTTCTATCTACAAGCATCTGGTGTTATGTAACATTTGGTGGGTCACTAGGGTCAGCTCGGTAAACTTGGTATATGAACACAAAATACCACAAGCGGTTGTGTATCCCTGTTCGTGGATATTGTCAGACTAATGAAGGGAAAAAAATGACCAGGATAAACTGTAGAGTTGGTTAGAATGATGCATCCTGGAATTCAACTCCTGCAGATGCAAGGTTATAGAGTTGGAGAAGAGAAATGATCGATAACGGGGAAGACATTTAGTGGACAGGTTGTAAAACTTACACAAGAGGAGGAGGACTCAGGCTTAATTGTAGTACCAAGTTTATCAACACACTAACTTATGCAGGGAATACACGACTACTGAACCTAGAAATATCAGTAATGTTGCAGAATCATTCAAGATCCTATGTATGACGTATCAAGCCTATCATAGAGTATTTAGCATTTGCATGAAGCACTCACCCATCATAGAGTATGTAGCATCTGCATGAAGCACTCACCCATCATATTTAGCATCTGCATGAAGCACTCACCCATCATAGAGTATGTAGCATCTGCATGAAGCACTCACCCATCATATTTAGCATCTGCATGAAGCACTCACCCATCATAGAGTATGTAGCATCTGCATGAAGCACTCACCCATCATAGAGTATGTAGCATCTGCATGAAGCACTCACCCATCATAGAGTATGTAGCATCTGCATAAAGCACTCACCCATCATAGAGTATGTAGCATCTGCATGAAGCACTCACCCATCATATGTAGCATCTGCATGAAGCACTCACCCATCATAGAGTATGTAGCATCTGCATGAAGCACTCACCCATCATAGAGTATGTAGCATCTGCATGAAGCACTCACCCATCATAGAGTATGTAGCATCTGCATGAAGCACTCACCCATCATAGAGTATGTAGCATCTGCATGAAGCACTCACCCATCATAGAGTATGTAGCATCTGCATGAAGCACTCACCCATCATAGAGTATGTAACATCTGCATGAAGCACTCATCCATCATAGAGTATGTAACATCTGCATGAAGCACTCACCCATCATAGAGTATGTAGCATCTGCATGAAGCACTCACCCATCATAGAGTATGTAGCATCTGCATGAAGCACTCACCCATCATAGAGTATGTAGCATCTGCATGAAGCACTCACCCATCATAGAGTATGTAGCATCTGCATGAAGCACTCACCCATCATAGAGTATGTAGCATCTGCATGAAGCACTCATCCATCATAGAGTATGTAGCATCTGCATGAAGCACTCATCCATCATAGAGTATGTAGCATCTGCATGAAGCACTCACCCATCATATGTAGCATCTGCATGAAGCACTCACCCATCATAGAGTATGTAGCATCTGCATGAAGCACTCACCCATCATAGAGTATGTAACATCTGCATGAAGCACTCACCCATCATAGAGTATGTAACATCTGCATGAAGCACTCACCCATCATAGAGTATGTAGCATCTGCATGAAGCACTCACCCATCATAGAGTATGTAACATCTGCATGAAGCACTCACCCATCATAGAGTATGTAGCATCTGCATGAAGCACTCACCTGAATGAAAACTTTCAGAAAGTAAACACAGTACAGTGGTTTACAATGAGACTAGTCTTGAAGCTTTGGGTATTATTCTATGAAAAACATTGACTGACATATGTAAATCTGATAACATTAGAAGAAAGAAGGACCAGGGAAGACATGATAACCTACAAGATAAAGTACGTGACGAGAAGCACATCAACAATAGACAGTAGTGAAGGAAGGAACGACAACAAGGGGTCACAGATAGAAGTTAAAAGTTCTTCGCAATGAGATGGTTGAGGTTATTTTCTGGTACAGTAGAACATACTAGCTGGCCAGACACCCTCATCTTCCACCAAGTCTTCATTAACACACTTGGTCTTCATAACCCAAAACTAGAAGTTATAATAACGTGACTGCAACTGTTTACAACTAACTCACAAATATTTAGGCGGCGTTACAGTCCGGCTGGTACTCGCACCTTGCTGATGGATCAGACGGTCCAGCTGGTACTCGCACCTTGCTGATGGACCAGACGGTCCAGCTGGTACTCGCACCTTGCTGATGGATCAGACGGTCCAGCTGGTACTCGCACCTTGCTGATGGACCAGACGGTCCGGCTGGTACTCACACCTTGCTGATGGACCAGACGGTCCGGCTTGTCCATATATACATTAATTTTTGTTACTTTGCTCTGAGATGATTGAGATACCTGAATAAAAACGAGGTTTCTCCTGGGTAAGAAATAGGCTGTCCTGAGAGACGGTAATTCCTAGGTAAATAGTAACTCCAGCTCCGCTACAAGGAAACCTTTGAAGTTACTGTAGCTAACGAACCTTGGATGAAATTCTTGACGATATTCTCATTATTCTACGAAGTCTCCCAGCTCAGACTGACACTAGTGAAGTCTCCCAACTCAGACTGACACTAGTGAAGTCTCCCAGCTCAGACTGATTCATTTCAACACTATGTGACCCATCCTGCGTGATGGGTCACATAGCTAGCTTTTGTTGCCACTGTCTTAACTCACATAGCATAGTGTAGTGTAGCAGCACACTGCTCATTTTTCCAACGTTGCTACATAAAACAATGCATTTAATACCTTCCCGCTGCACACTCGGCTGGAGTTCCGCAAGCTGGGATTATGGGAACCACAGCCACTGCACAAGAACTAGCGCCAACACGAGGCTAACGAGGCATTTGATATCTCTTAGTGTGGTGGGTTATTACCCAGCTTTGTTAGCCAGCAACAATCAGTGCAGTGTGGTCTGGGTACCACTGGTGTCATGAAGCAAGCATCATGGGTATACCTGGGCACCTCTGTTAGTGTCATGAAGCATCATGAGTATACCCGAGTACCTCTGTTAGTGTCACGAAGCATCATGGGTATACCCGAGTACCTCTATTAGTGTCACGAAGCATCATGGGTATACCCGAGTACCTCTATTAGTGTCACGAAGCATCATGGGTATACCCGAGTACCTCTATTAGTGTCACGAAGCATCATGGGTATACCCGAGTACCTCTATTAGTGTCATGAAGCATCATGGGTATATCTGGGCACCTCTACCAGTGTCATGAAGCATCATGGGTATACCTGGGCACCTCTGCTAGTGTCACGAAGCATCATGGGTATACCCGAGTACCTCTATTAGTGTCATGAAGCATCATGGGTATATCTGGGCACCTCTACCAGTGTCATGAAGCATCTTGGGTATACCTGGGCACCTCTGCTAGTGTTATGAAGCATCATGGGTATACCTGGGCACGTCTACTAGTCTCATGGGTACATGTATTCACTGGTTCAGGTGTTGTAGGCCTACAGTAACATACCAATTTCTCAGTTTGCATATTCGAATTGTTAGGTAAAGGTTAGTGTTGTTTATGTTCTAGTTTATGTTTATGTTATTTTGTTTATTTTGTTATTGTTTATGTTGTTGTAATGTGCTTACATCAGCAGTGTAAGCACATACAGTGACCTCTGCTAAGTACGGGTTCCCAGACGTCCCTAGGGCAGACATGCTACTCGTGTTTCACCTGCCCTTGGAAAGGTAATCTTAGGCTCGTGTGACTGCTGCTGCTGCTGCTTGCCAGGATTCATGTTCACAGTGCTGACTGACTTCATGAACTTGTGTACTCACTCACTCGTCTTGGTGTGGGTCAAGTCTCTGCTCTTGACCTCACCTCTTAAACTACTCTCAGAATTATTGTATCCCTGTTGCTTGACCTTTATTGTATCTACTCTCATCCCTTTCTTATCACTCTAAGGTTAAAAAAAAAGTATTTCCTAATATCCCCTAATAGCCCCCTTTTATCCCCTTAATGGTCTTAAATCACAGAACGAATGGGGCTTAAACCCATGGCAGGTGGGTGCTACAACTCACAGGTCAGTCAGTAACTGCTGTACTTGGAGTTTACACTAGACACTGTGTGTGTTTGGTGTGAGCTTGTGTGTACACTGTATACTTACTGTCTGTTGCTGCCGGCAGCATCTTTCAAGGTGTCAGAATATCCCCAAGTTTCCTTTATTACAACACAACCCTTAAAATGTTTGAACTAACTTCCCAGACTTGTGTATAAGAGAGTCTGGGCTGCTGGTTCCCCGAGGCTCAGTAATGATTTAATGTACAGAGCGAGAGTACAGGTGGTAGTTATCATAGGTTAATTTAAGTCGGAGCTCTTCTTCTTCTTCCCCTCCTTCTCCTTTCCCACCCTTCTTTTCCCTAGTGGGTTCATTCCCTCTGGGGAGCCACTGGTTCACATCATGGAATTCTTGAAAAGATCTGATAGACGAGCAATAAATCGTGAAGGAGAGCCAGTTGTGTGAGATGAGAGAACTGCTGGTGCCTAGTGTGTTGGCTCACGGGTCGTCGTCGACAATGTCCACAAATCCGGGTGTGTAATACAGTTACTCTGTTGTTACTGTCAATAACTGATACTGTCCAAGTTGATAGTTTGTCTTAACATTGTTCTCTCTTTACAAGTACTAAGTAAAATTCATTCATCTTATTATAAATTATCTACAATACCGATAGGTTGAAAAGTTAGACACATGTGCAACACTAATAATCTTTATTAACGAAACGTTTCGCCCGCGCTGCAGGCGTCATCAGTCGAAATACAGATGAATCACAGTCGTGGAGACATCAGCCTTGGTGGAAGACAAAGTGGACGAAGTGCATGGGTAGTTTAATGCAATAACATCACAATAAACAGGTGATACCACAATGTACAGAACAACCACTGTGAAAAAACAATAAATTTCGAAGCGCCTTCGTGATGTCTCACATTTCCGAGGAACTGCATAGGTAGTTTAATGTAGTTAAATTATTTTGCGCCAAGACTAATTATATCAAATCACCCTCCACTAATTCATCTCTGTATGAAGCCTGCAGAGCAGACGAAATGTTTCACCAATAATAGAGGAAGTAGGAGCGCCACGAGCGCAATATGAGAACACTATATCCACAACCCTAGTTCTGGACTACTGAATCTGCCACCAGCAGATATCAGAAATATTACTGGAACAAATGTAGATTTTTTTTTTTAAGATAAAACTGGATTACTACCTCTGCCAAGTGCCCGATCAACCAGACTATGATGGCTGTGTGGGCCAGTAGGTCACTAACTAGAACAATGGCTTCTATAACATAACTAAACCCTTGCCAAGAAACTTCATTGTTATCCTACATAACTAGATACACACCCGCCCTTCCCGTGGGGGTCCGTCTCAGGTCCAACCTGGATGGTTGTTAAGACACATAGGCAACACTTAAGCAACTATATTCCGAAACGTTTCGCCCACACAGTAGGCTTCTTCAGTCGAGTACAGAAAGGAGCAGTAGAGATGTGAAGACGAAGTAATCAGTCCATCACCCTTAAAGTCGTAGATTTGAGGTTATCAGCCCCTCAGCCTGGAGAAGTTCTGTTCCAAAGTCTGGAACTAACTGAAGATCAAGCGACAGTGTTGAGACTTAAATACTGTCGGAGAGGTGCAGAGTAGTAGTAGTGAGATTGTAGCCACTGAGAGGTCATGTTCCTCTCAGAACAAACGGTTCTCACTTGAAGTTGTCTAAGGTGTTTTCTGTTCTGTACCAAGATGCCATTGTGTTGCAGTGTCACTACTACTGTCTCACTACTACTACTCTGCACCTCTCTTTCCGACAGTATTTAGGTCTCAACACTGTCGCTTGATCTTCAGTTAGTTCCAGACTTTGGAACAGAACTTCTCCAGGCTTAGGGATTGACAACCTCAAATCTACGACTTTAAGGGTGATGGACTGATTACTTCGTCTTCGCATCTCTACTGCTCCTTTCTGTACTCGACTGAAGAAGCCTACTGTGTGGGCGAAACGTTTCGGAATATAGTTGCTTAAGTGTTGCCTATGTGTCTTAACAACCATCCTGTCGGTATTCCATACCATTTTGATATTCACTCAGGTCCAACCTACCAGACATTCTCAGCGGTCCCTTACAGGTCCGTCTCAGGTCCAATCTACCAAACATTCCCAGCGGTGCCTTACAGGTCCGTCTCAGGTCCAATCTACCTAACATTCTCAGTGGTTGTTAGGTAAGACACATATGAAAGTTAAGACACATGTGCAACATCTGGAAATCTTTATTGTAGACGTTTCGCCATCCAGTGGCTTTATCAATACAGATTCTAGGACATAATAGGAAGACAGTATAACTATATACAAAAGATGAGGTTGATCAGGCTCTGATCCACCAGGAGGCCTGGTCACAGACCGGGCCGCGGGGGCGTTGACCCCCGGAACTCTCTCCAGGTAAACTCCAGGTAATCAGTCCCTCAACCTTGGAGTTAGTGTTTACAGCATCGTGGTGGAGGAGAATCTGGAGCAAAGGCAAGAAGACTGGCGGTTATATAGGCGTCAGTGGATATAACTAACCCATCTCTTTGGGAAGGACCTACTTCCACTGGGGAATCCCGCCTACCAGTGACTATGCCCTCGTCTGCTGCCCGTCCCTATCCACTGACGCCTATATAACCGCCAGTCTTCTTGCCTTTGCTCCAGATTCTCCTCCACCACGATGATGTGAACACTAACTCCAAGGTTGAGGGACTGATTACCTCATCTTTTGTATATTCAAATTCAAATTCAAATTCAAAGTTTATTCTCTATAAGGATTACAATGCTGAGTTTACAGAAATTTGGTTATTGTGTGGTTTACATGTAGTAAAATTGTGATTACAGAGTGTACCACTAGAACGCTTAGCATGGCTAGGCATTTCGGGCAGACTTAGTTTTATTCTTAATTGTAAAATATTACAAATTATGAGGTAAGTTGGTATTATGGCTAAGTGACTAAATACTAGTTTGTGAGTTTAGCAATGTGAATGCTTTTGTTTTGGCACAGTACATAGTTTCAGTATTGGAGTATCACAGGATTCATTATTTTAAGATTGAGATTAATATTTCTGTTTATGGTCAAATGAGTGAGTGAGTGTAAGTGTGAACCACCAGGTGGTATTCGTGTAGTTAGTTGACGGGGTGTATCAGGGAGATAAGATTGAGACACTTATGCAGCATATGGGAATCTTTATTGAAGAAACGTTTCGCCACACAGTGGCTTCATCAGTCCAATACAAAGTAGAAATGTGTAAGGAGAGTAGAAGTTTGAGGTAATCAGTCCCTCAACCTGGAATTGATGTGTTCAGTCCATCACTCTTGTAGGAAGTGCAGCATAGGGCCAGAGAGGTGGCTTATATACTTATATATTGGACTGATGAAGCCACTGTGTGGCGAAACGTTTCTTCAATAAAGATTCCCATGTGTTGCATAAGTGTCTCAATTCTTCAACTTGTCAGTTTTCAAAACCATTCATCACATCTGTCAGACACTGCAACATCATGGGATCTTGGTACAAAGACTTCAAGGCTTGCCCAACCTTTGGACGACGACCTACTTACACTAGTGGCAGGTCCCACTGTGATCCCGCCTCCTCCTGCTTCAACTCATCTCACCGCAGTATATAAGCCACCTCTCTGGCCCTATGCTGCACTTACTACAAGAGTGATGGACTGAACACATCGAATCCAGGTTGAGGGACTGATTACCTCATACTTCTACTCTCCTTACCCATTTCTACTTTGTATTGGACTGATGAAGCCACTGTGTGGCGAAACGTTTCTTCAATAAAGATTCCCATGTGTTGCATAAGTGTCTCAATTCTTCAACTTGTCGGTTTTCAAAACCATTCATCACAGAGTACAGTGTTATTAACCTAGTGTTGTATTGGTTTGTAGAGTACAGTGTTATTAACCTAGTGTTGCATTGGTTTGTAGAGTACAGTGTTATTAACTTAGTGTTGTGTTACTGTTGCAGGTTGCTGAACAACAATCACATCACTCGCCTACAGAATGGTTCCTTCTCTGGGCTAGAGGCTCTGCGTTACCTGTAAGTACCTCACTACACCCACTGTTTACATGTTATTCATTCTGGACTTCTTGTTTGAGCCTTGGAAGGGGGGAGGTAGCCCCAATTTCTTGGATCAAAAGCCCTTCACTGACATCAAGAAGGCAATCCTCTTCAAGGACACTTCTTAGTTCTCCTTTCTCTCTTCTTCCTTTATTCTGGTAAGTTTCATCTCAATCGCTGGGCTCACTTTGTTGCTACTCTGCACTGTGTCACCATACACCATACTTTCCTTATTTTGTTTTATTTTTATTTCATCCCCTCCTCTCTATTACAGTATTAAACAGGATTTTGAGGGACGATTACCTCATTCTCCCCCTGTTTTTTAAATTTTTCTCCTTCGATGGGACTGATAAGCCATGTGTGGCGAAACTTTTTTCCTAAATAAAGATCCCCAAAGAGTTGCATTTTCAATTTATCAACATGTCGGTTTCTGAACCTTTTCATCTACAATTTAAAACCAGTACCGTCTACTCACGGCCCACAAGTTTTTTTATTTTTTTTTTTTTTTTTTGTGGCTGTGCCCCCCCCCATGATTATTGTGCACCCCATGTCTTTTCCGGAGCGGTGCGAAAAAAACCAGGATTAAGATGTTTACAGTGGGTCTTTGCAGACTTCACTGAAATTGTTACATCACTAAAAGCCCGGGGGAAAAGCCCGTTCTCCCGTTTTTCTCTTCTAAGTGTACATTCTTTGTGCCCCCATTGTAATGTTGGGGTGGCGGGGAAGAACTACCTGGGGGTGAAAGAGCTATGAACAGTGTCAGGCCGTAGTTGTCTAGTCTAGGTGGCAGTAAGGAACACTTAGTACGACACCTTAGTACAATTTGGTTAAACGACTTGCAATTTTTTAAAGTGTTGTTAACCAAAACGAGTCTGGCGTTCGTTTGATGTCCGGTCTGCAAGGGTATGGCACTCAAACCATAAGGCGAAGGGAAACTGGCTTTATTTTGCCAGGTCCACCAGGTAAACAGTTTCTTTTTTTAATGTCTGTAGACATCATCCAGTGTTTGTCACTTGCACCACCCCGCCATAGGGCCATCTGAACGAGTCATATAAAAAATACTCGATATAAAAAAACTCGAGTGAGGTTATTTTTTCCTGACGAAGGAACGCAACAACGATGAATATGTACTAAGGCACAAAAACCAGGGTGGTGTGAAGGTTGCGGGAGGGGCCAAGGATGAGGGGTGTGGGGGTGCCAAATAAAAGGGCAACACACGGAGGAGATCAACGATGCCTGAACAAGTGTCAAATTGTTTATGTGGGGAAAAGGTAAACAATTTAACTTTTTTGCTTGAGAGGGGTGTTGAGTAAAAGGATTTCTAGCACCAAAGGCGAATTAAAAATTGGGCTGGAGACAATAAGAAGATGGATATGTGGGCGGGGTTTGGTACTCCTCGCAAACTCGTGGTGTCCCCCTTTACAAGAGGTGATCAAAAAGGGTGACAGTTTTCGTCACCTCTTACCTTGTAAATATAGCACATTTTAACACCCCTTTTGAGGCCCTAATGGGGAGACTGGTGGTTTTTTTTTTGTCAGGATAAACCGGAAAAAATTTTCCTACGCGTATATCGCTCAAAAAGGGGCCCTACGCTGGGTCACTGACACCCTTTTAAAAGTATATACGTTTTTTAAAGACCAAGGAACCAATTTCCGTCCCCCAAAAATTTTTGGGAAAAATGTTGACGACCGAGGGTACTTCTTGTAACTGATGTCTCTCCACTCGTGTGGACTGCCTTAGCAACATTGAAATACTTTGTTTTAAAGGCGATAGGCTGGTCTTTACTGTGTTGCTCGCTATCTTCGAGGGCCATATTCTCACACCTTGTGTTGCCAACATTTTAAATTAATCGTTGATTTATCAATCATAAACAGATTTTTTTTTCATTTTGCTCCGAAGGGCTAGTTTTATTGGATGATGCCACTTATCCTCTCAGTAAACTGTGCCTTTCAGCCCATAATTTTGATACTTCATTGTCGATATTAAATACTCTGTCTTTTTCTATTGCATTAAACGTTCACTCCTTTTATAAACTTTTGTTTGCAGAAAAAAAAGGGATGGTTTTTAAAGATAATAGTTATATATGGAAAAAAATGAGGGGGGGGGGTCACGTTTTCAATCACACAATAAAAATATGGAATGTACAATAAACCCGGAAATAGAGCCCAGGATACAGAGAACCTTGTAAATATCCATGGCCAAATTTCAACCTTCTACCACAGGTATAAATAATATTGCTGGAACAAATGCAGAAAGAAGCTTCGAGATAAATCATTCTCAAAGGGCCTTGATAAAACGCTCTCAAGGGGGCATACTGTGTAGTTTAGCGTACAGATAAAATGCGAAGTATCAGACGCTGGAGGACAGGAGTGGGCGCTACGGAAAGTCTAGGGGAGATGCGGGGGGGGTATTAGGGAGGGTACTGGAGAAGGTAATAGAGAGGGGGGTTTGTTGAAGCAATGTAAACAGGGGAAAGGAAAACTTGGTGGGGTACCTTGCCCAGCCCCCAGGCGCCTCACCCCCTTCTCTGCTTTGTCCTCCAGAAGGTAACCTAAATCGGGACTCTCATAAATTTTTAAATACATATTTTTTAGGGGAAACCCAAATCTTTAGGTTATACAACCCGGGAAGTGGGGGATAACCAGGTTTTTTTTCAAGAATTGGAGGGTATTCCAGGGCCTGTATCAAGAAAACATTTTACCATCAAAGAACTTCTCAGTAAAGAAATTTTGCTATAAGATGACCATGAGATTGTTTTAAAATCTACAGTTGTGATCACGTGGTGGCCCTGCTAACCCCCCTGTATGTATAGAAATTTTTCTTAGTTGGGTGACTTTATTAGACCGGTTGGTCCATTGGTAGCCACTGGACTATAGTTTTTACTCGCTTGCAAAGGGTTTGAGCCTCACCCTTATGTGCGTTTGTAATCGTTTTATTCGATTTTTCTGTGTCCGACCAGCTGATTGGGCAGCTACAGCGACCACTGGCTTGCCCTCCGTTTAGTTCTGGAGATGCTTCAGCGCGCCTCTGAGGATATCGTTGATTTATTGGCACACATGAAAAGACAGTGGCCGGGGAAAGGTTTACCTCACAGTCGTATTTTTTTTTATCTAACGATTCCATTGATTTTTACGTTTTTGGTTATCTTTTGCCCCCTAAGCAGCCCGCTTTAATATTGTGTGGATTCGCCGCTCAAAAACCGTATACAGCTTTTTATCACATGGTATACACAAAATTGTCACATAACCTCAAGAGGCTGTTAGGTGTAACTCCGCAGAACCCTTGTTTACACAATACGGTAATATGAACTAGCAGACAGATTAGTGCTGAACTTTAATTAAATCTGTAATGGTGAATGTTGGGCTTTGCTTAGTCACCTGCGCATGATTGCAAATAACGTGACGAAGGTGAAGTTTGCAAGATATAAGGTAGGAGTAACTAATATCCTAGTTCTGAAAGGTTTAGAATATTTGTTGACATATGCTTGTGAGAGGACAAGGAGAGAAACTGAGAAGTGGGAGTCATTTAGTTCGATGCTCCTAATGTAGAGTAAATCTAATCATGCTATACCCATAGCATGTGTTGTTATGAAGAGGGACATTCTCTCATTGTCTGTCTTTAGGCGTGGGAAGGGATGGAAAAGGAGGGTATGATGTTACCGGATGTAGGGAAGTTAGTATACTACTTACGATGGAAGGAGACAAATGCGGGGAAGTAGGTGGAGGGGAAGTTTACTACTAGAATTAGGATCCCTCGAATCTTGCGAAATCTTTCTGTTGTGCTGTGTGTGGGAAGTGGATGGTGTGTGTGTACATTTATAAGAAATGGGAATATATACATATATTGTTGAAAATTGTATAAAATACCGACCAGTGCAACAGTTGGGTATTTTTACTACTGAAACGTTTTACTTACATGTAGGCTTCTTCAGTCAAATATAGAGGCAGCTGGTATAGTAGTGAACGATATCGTTCCAGACCATAGAACTAGCTTCTCCAGGCTGAGGGACTGACCACCTCATATCTCCAAGGTTGATGGGCTGATTACATTATCTTCATTTCACTACTATACCAGCTGCCTCTATATTTGACTGAAGAAACCTACTGTGTAAGTGAAACGTTTCAACAATAAAGATAACCCACTGTTGGACGAGTGTTAATCATGTACATATATTACCTTGGGTGGTTGGTGTGTGTATGGTGCTTGCTAACTCATACTTGAAGACGTTCTCTTACTCTCAGGTACCTGTATAAGAACCGGATACGGGTTATTGAGAGCCAGGTGTTCCAAGAGCTGGACAAGTTGGAACAACTGTGAGTAACCACTAACGTTTTTCTTCCTTCATCTTGCTTTTAGGCTAAGATAAGTTTAATTAAGGCCTCTCTCTCCTTCTTTTATACCTTAAACCTTTTATTCATAAAGTGTGTGCAGGTCATTTTTTATTTTGTGACTGGTCTGTGAAGGTAACAGAATAAGCACTTGTTATATTAACGTCATGTTAGGTTACCGTTTGTTCACTACTTGCTAAATATAAGACGGTAGAACGAGTGCTTTCTGAAGCACCTCTGACTTAAGCTTCCATGTGATATGTTCATCTCTTGTTATAATAGTTACCCCCCCCCTTAATTTATTCTAATGCTTCTCACAGACAACAGATTACAACTCGATCACAGATTAGAAATTAAAATTATAGTGTTAAAATCAATATTTTAAGTGAACATGCCTAGTCTTATAGATTTAATAAAATTTTCATATTTAATTGCTAGTTTTACATAAAGAATGAGAGAAACTTATTTTACTGCACATTTTTTTCTTTTTCACTCGTCACTGGGGCAGGGTTATCTCATCGACACCATGCCTAACCCTTCTAGGGTAGGGTAGGTGCCTGAGCCCGAGCTTTTAGCTCATAAGACTGTCATTCCCATTAGCCCCCTTGGGGCGGGGATGGCAGACCAGAGAGGCCTAGCTTGTGGCTAGGCCTGGGGACAGTTGGTCCCAAAGATGAGGAGGTACTTGTGCCTCCTCCCATGGGAGACTTAGGTCTCAGACACTCCCTAAAGAGGGAGCCAAGGCCGGGCCACCACTTGGAAAAGGCCCGGGCCGGGAGAATACCGGCTAATCTTTAATAATAAATAACAGGGTTATCTATTTTTCCATTTCCAATTTGTGGGTCAGTTATAAATCGTTCCAGCTACAGTATTAGGATTTTTATTCTCCACAGACAAGAACTTTTCCAGTGTTGCCACAAGGTGTTGTATGTGAGCATATTGGCCTGCTGGTGACGCTGAACGTTGATCGTGTAATAAAGGGGAAATTGTGCATGTCCATACTCCCCTCAAGAGGCAAGCAGTATAACAGGCAGCGTAAATACTGAATTATTTCTTTTCAGGTTCCACTGGGATGGCTTTATCAAACTCACTTTGCAGTTTTCCTCTTAATGTACTGTGGATTGTAAGATGCAAGTAAATTTCAGATGCATGATTCCTGCTGTCTCAAAGGTGATTATACACCATACATAAGGACGCTGTATGTCCACCACTATTTTCAGCCGAATACAAGGTGTGTATACACCATATACAAGGGCTTGTTGCATGACACCATTTGCCATATTTCACAAGCCCACTTGACCAATCAAAGGACCCGCCCTCAGACACCCCTCACCAGACCCTTCACTATATAAAGAGTGATGGTTTCACCCACCAGTAAGCGGCACCCACTAGCACAAAGTTACCACCGTATAGTACCCCCTCCATCATGGCCAGGACCACACAGCGTCCTGCACCATGTAAATAGTTCAATCTCGTCCACCCATTAGCGTCTGGTCCAGCACAACAACCACCCCTACATGCACCAACAGATCGCTTTCCCTCCGCCTCCCGTACCTGTGCAAGAATGGTATATAATACCAAGATGAAATTAAGACACATGCGCAACATCTGGGTATCTTTATTGTAGACGTTTCGCCATCCAGTGGCTTTATCAATACAAATTCCAGGACATAACTTGAAGACAGTAGGACTATATACAGAAGATGAGGTAATCAGTCCCTCAACCTTGGAGTAGGTGCGAAGAGCACCATAGTCGTGGAGATTCTGAAGCAGAAGCAAGGAGCCTGGCGCTTATATACTACACCTGACGTTAGTATATAAGCGCCAGGCTCCTTGCTTCTGCTTCAGAATCTCCACGACTATGGTGCTCTTCGCACCTACTCCAAGGTTGAGGGACTGATTACCTCATCTTCTGTATATAGTCCTACTGTCTTCAAGTTATGTCCTGGAATTTGTCCTGGCACTCGATGTATGCACAAGGCTTATTCCTCTAAGAAAAAGGAGACAGGCGCTCCCTTTACAGGCGACGGAAAAGAATAACAGAGCGGCTAAAAGAGGTCAATATATCTGAAATGCGTAAGGAGACACTGGTCAGAGAAATAGCAAGCATCGAACTTAAGCTAAAGGAATCTTATAGGAGTCAGGAATCGCGGGAAGAACTAAAAGCCATAAATGAAATCGAAAGAAACCCAAAGTATTTCTTCTCCTATGCCAAATCAAAGTCGAGAACAACGTCCAGTATTGGGCCCCTACTTAAACAAGATGGGTCCTACACTGATGACAGCAAGGAAATGAGTGAGCTACTCAAGTCCCAGTATGACTCAGTTTTTAGCAAGCCGCTAACCAGACTGAGAGTCGAAGATCAAAATGAATTTTTTTATGAGAGAGCCACAGAATTTGGTTAACACAAGCCTATCTGATGTTATCCTGACGCCAAATGACTTCGAACAGGCGATAAATGACATGCCCATGCACTCTGCCCCAGGGCCAGACTCATGGAACTCCGTGTTCATCAAGAACTGCAAGAAGCCCCTATCACGAGCTTTTACCATCCTATGGAGAGGGAGCATGGACACGGGGGTCGTCCCACAGTTACTAAAAACAACAGACATAGCCCCACTCCACAAAGGGGGCAGTGAAGCAATAGCAAAGAACTACAGACCGATAACACTAACATCCCATATCATAAAAATCTTTGAAAGGGTCCTAAGAAGCAAGATCACCACCCATCTAGAAACCCATCAGTTACACAACCCAGGACAACATGGGTTTAGAACATGTCGCTCCTGTCTGTCTCAACTATTGGATCACTACGACAAGGTCCTAAATGCACTAGAAGACAAAAAGAATGCAGATGTAATATATACAGACTTTGCAAAAGCCTTCGACAAGTGTGACCATGGCGTAATAGCGCACAAAATGCGTGCTAAAGGAATAACAGGAAAAGTCGGTCGATGGATCTATAATTTCCTCACTAACAGAACACAGAGAGTAGTAGTCAACAGAGTAAAGTCCGAGGCAGCTACGGTGAAAAGCTCTGTTCCACAAGGCACAGTACTCGCTCCCATCTTGTTCCTCATCCTCATATCCGACATAGACAAGGATGTCAGCCACAGCACCGTGTCTTCCTTTGCAGATGACACCCGAATCTGCATGACAGTGTCTTCCATTGCAGACACTGCAAGGCTCCAGGCGGACATCAACCAAATCTTTCAGTGGGCTGCAGAAAACAATATGAAGTTCAACGATGAGAAATTTCAATTACTCAGATATGGTAAACACGAGGAAATTAAATCTTCATCAGAGTACAAAACAAATTCTGGCCACAAAATAGAGCGAAACACCAACGTCAAAGACCTGGGAGTGATCATGTCGGAGGATCTCACCTTCAAGGACCATAACATTGTATCAATCGCATCTGCTTGAAAAATGACAGGATGGATAATGAGAACCTTCAAAACTAGGGATGCCTAGCCCATGATGACACTCTTCAGGTCACTTGTTTTATCTAGGCTGGAATATTGCTGCACATTAACAGCACCTTTCAAGGCAGGTGAAATTGCTGACCTAGAAAATGTAGAGAGAACATTCACGGCGCGCATAACGGAGATAAAACACCTCAATTACTGGGAGCACTTGAGGTTCCTAAACCTGTATTCCCTGGAACGCAGGCGGGAGAGATACATGATTATACACACCTGGAAAATCCTAGAGGGACTAGTACCGAACTTGCACACGAAAATCACTCACTACGAAAGCAAAAGACTTGGCAGACGATGCAACATCCCCCCAATGAAAAGCAGGGGTGTCACTAGCACGTTAAGAGACCATACAATAAGTGTCAGGGGCCCGAGACTGTTCACCTGCCTCCCAGCATACATAAGGGGGATTACCAACAGACCCCTGGCAGTCTTCAAGCTGGCACTGGACAAGCACCTAAAGTCAGTTCCTGACCAGCCGGGCTGTGGCTCGTACGTTGGTTTGCGTGCAGCCAGCAGTAACAGCCTGGTTGATCAGGCTCTGATCCACCATGAGGCCTGGTCACAGACCGGGCCGCGGGGGCGTTGACCCTCGGAACTCTCTCCAGGTAAACTCCAGGATGGCGAAACTTCTACAATAAAGATACCCAGATGTTGCACATGTGTCTTAATTTCGCCTCCCGTACCTACTTACATTTACCTACACATAAACCTTTAAAAACAATAGTGAGCCGGGATACCATAGTTACTTGCTGGCCCATACAGAATCCTCCTTCCCAACCACCAACATCACGTCTACATTTAAGGTCTCCGCCTCCCTCCTGACATGTGAAAACTAGAGAATACACACTCGGTGTAAACCAATTTTGGACAGTACTATTACTACTGTATGTGGTGATAGTTTGCTTTTTAAATAGGAGTTATAACTTAGCTGGGGTAAGACAGCGGACGCTAAACCACTTATGTCAAGAGACACTTGTCCTGTTTCTGACGAGCAAACACCACCACCTGGCCACTGCTTATCATACCAACCTTCAACTTGGCAGTGTCAGAAATGAGTTTCGAGTCAACCAACAGTACACTGCCTCACCAAACAAGAAGTATCTTAAACTGCTCCAGACGTACACACGCAGGTCTAACATGAAGAAAATATACCTTATGTTTCGTGAGGTAAATGACATTTTACTGTCCAAACTGATCAGCTTTGTCGATCATTACCCCCATCAAGGGAGTTTCCTTGATGTTAGTGAGCTTTTGATCCAAAGAATTAGACTTATCCTTCCTTTCCTTCGATCGAACCTGATTGCCTTCCATTTCGTAGACGCTGTGATCCCTACGGGTTTAGTGCTTCCCTTCATACGATTGATGAATTTCTAGTCTCACTACTCTCAGAGCCCAGCCATAGGCCAGGCTCATTACTGTCTTCTGTCTCACATCTACTCTTATGATTTCCTCTATATCTTATAGCATATTTTCGTTGTTTATATTTTTAAACTGCAGTTGATTGTGCAGTGTTGCTTTTCTTAAATTGGATGCAAGATACCTCAAAACCCACAGTGAACACTCACTGAACTTCTCAATTTGAGTGCTTATGTTTTTGTCTTGTTCATAGTGTGTCAGTGAAATGTTGAGTGGGCAGCCTGTGGGAACCCTTAGTGCAAGGGCGATATATCCTCATTGTTATGTTGATCCACAAATGTGCACAACACCCCGCTCTGCCATTCATTATCCACTCATACGACAAGTAGAGGAGTATCACACCCTGACGCCTACGTTGTCTCACCACCACACACTGCACCCTACACTGCACACTCCCTCATCATTGCAGGTACCTTCATTTCAACGACCTTGCAACATTCGAGGCTGACACCTTCTCCAATTTGCCCAACTTGGAACGGCTGTAAGTATACGTTAAGAAGTTACAAATAGCAGTATAGTGGTCTCCTGGTATGTTATCTCACACAAGTACCAGTTGGTAGAGAGCTGCTTCATAAAGTCACGTGTTAGTGGGTGTGGTTAATGGTGCTTGTGTGAGGTAGCATGAAGGATCTAAGCTAAGTTGTAGGCTGGGGTGGGTGGTCAACCTAATGTTGTCCGCCTATTTTACAGATATCTTCATTTCAACAAGATTGAAAAATTAGGACCCGATGTATTCTCCAGCTTGAATAGGTTGCACAGGCTGTAAGTAAAGAAATGTAGAGGGTTTTGTGGATACCTAGTAGCACGTTATGTATTCCTAATGTCCTTATGTGGAATGAACCAAGTAATTACCTCCATGTAGAGCACAAGTAGCGGTATTTGTAGAGTATTTTATTGGTTACTCAAGATTTTTTGTAAAAAAAAAAAAGTTCTATCCTTTTTTTTGCATGGTGTGGAAATTGGAACCTCGGGGATTATGATTAATACAATTATTACACACAACAGCCTAACGAACCATTAAAAAAATTAGTTACCACACTTGAAAACAGTATTTTTAATGTATACTATAATGCACCGTGATATAAATGTACATAGAAGATACTTAATACCTATTAAACAGTAGTGTTTTCAACTGTGAAAAGAATAAAAAAAAAAGGTCACTAGTTGTGCCAAAAGCCGATTCTCGGTCAACTTCCTAACTGTATTTATACTTTAAAATTATTTATTTATAATGTACAGAGTAAATTTCATGTATCCATTGTTCTTGTGTGATTACTTCACCAGTAACTTGTTACCCGGCTTTGTTAACATTGATTCGTATTTCACGAAATTTTGTAAATACTCCTTGGTCTGTGCTCCAGTTCCCCGAAGTAAGCCTGAATACCTTCTACATCCCTCCCCCCCAGGCGCTGTATAATCCTCCGGGTTTAGCGCTTCCCCCTTGATTATAATAATAATGTAAATACTCTTGGTGAGTCAAGACAAGCTTCCCTCAACACCTGTGATGTCTCACACGGGTGAAGCTGCTTAATTAGTTAATACTATGCTCGAGAAAAAACTTGAATTTAAAGCAAAATTACCATGAAATTTCGAGCTTCGTAAGTTTTGGGCAAAGGTACGATTAATGCACTCATGTCAACTGGGAGAGGAGAATCATGTCTTCAAGAAGGTAGATCACTAAGTGTTCTTAAGAGTAATACTTATCCTACAAATATATACAAAATTAGCATAAACATCTGTATTTGCAACATTTAATGTTGCAAATACAGATGTTTATGCTAATTTTGATCCAATGCAAAGACTGTAACAGTAACTTAGGATATTCTAACGAGAATAAATTACCAAGATATGTTTAAGAAAGTTGGCTAATGAGATGGAGAAAGACCAGAATAAGAGGCTGGGGGATCATACCTTCTTGGGACCACACCAGGAGTGTAGCTTAACATGCAGGTCAGACACCCAACTAAAGCTTACTCAAGGTATATTTATAGATTAAAGTTTACTTGTCACTACTAATTTTGGTATCAGGTGCACCAAACACTTGTACTTAAAATAGGTAAATTTTTTAAAGATTACCGTATTCTCCGCCCGGCCTTTCCAAGTGTGCCCGCTTGGCTCCCTTCTTTAGGAGTGTCTGAGACTAAGTCTCCCATGGGAGGAGACAAGTACCTCCTCATCTTTGGGACCAAGTCCCCAGGCCTAGCCACAAGTAGCCTAATCTGGTCTCACATCCCTCCCCCCAGGCCAAACGGTTTAGGCCCATAAATATATGAAATACTCTTGTGAGTCAAGACAGCCTCAAACTGTGAGCTCAGGGAGCTGCTTAATGTTAACTATCTCATGAAAACTGAATTTAAGCAATTACCATGAATTTCGAGCTGTAAGTTTTGGGCAAAGTTCGATTAATGCACTATGTCAACTGGAGAGAATATGTCTTAAGAAGTAGATATAAAGTTACTTAAGAGTAATTTTCTACAATATATAAAATTGCATAAACATCTGTATTTGCAACTTAATGTTCAAATAGATGTTTATGCTAATTTTATCAATGCAAAGACTGTAACAGTAACTTAGATATTCTAAATATATAAATTACAGATATTTTAAAATTTCTAATAATGGAGAAAGACAAATAAGACTGGGGTCATACTTCGGCCACACCAGGAGTGTAGCTAACATGCAGGTCAGACACCACTAAAGTTATCAAGGTATATATAATTAAGTTTACTTGTCATACTAATTTGGTATCAGGGCCCAAACACTTGTACTTAAAATATGGAACATTCTAGAAGGAAGTTTGTTAGCTGATATAATACGTAGTAATTTTTAACTAGTATAAAATGTGATATATATGATTATATATAATATATATATATATATATATATATATATATATATATATATATATATTAAATGTAATTATAGTAAATATTATTGAATGCAGAGTTACAAGACATACTTCTAGACAACATTAAACTTAGCACACTTGACTGATTTTGTGTAGTTCATTATGCACCTCACACCCATCCTGTGAGGAGTCAGGGAGGCATTTAAATAATTATTATGTCGTGTCCAAAAACGGTGGAACGGTATAAAAAATAATGGATTCAACCACTAAATGAATTGATCCATTGATTATAATAATGCCGGTAATTTAAAAAAAAAGTAGTATATAAATTATATATGTAGATTTTACAAATGAAACTAGACGTGAATCTAATCCTGACTCGAAGTGCCAGGATAACTCTGAAATTTGTAGTTGTAGATGTAGATGGAAATAAGTCACTCTGTCTGACTTTTTTTTGGGTTATCCTAGGTTCTCTACACATATGCTGCTATGTCTGATAATTCTATGTAATTGTATTTGTGTATACCTGAATAAACTTACTAATAAGACAGATTCTGGCCTTCCTCATGTAACCACCACAGCCTTGTGTCACTTTAACTCTATTGGGTTATTGTTAGGTTATTTAAATATATATTACTCTTATGCAGAAATCGCGAGCAAGCGTTAGAAAATGCAAAACAACCACGGGAGGAGTTGAATGATAGCTCTAGGCCTTTCGTGTTGCAATCAACACATCATCAGGAGCCTATAATGTTGCAGAAAAGAGGATCACAGAAAGCACCCTTGGTGGTCGCTTCCTGTGATCCTATTTGCTTGGACTTCCTCCTCTTTTCTACAACATTGCAAGTTCCTGATGTGTTGCAACACGAAAGGCCTAGAGCTATCATTCAACTCCACCCGTAGTTGTTTTGAATGTTACTGTATATGGTTGTAATAATGGTAGAGAGCTGTATTCCCACACGGTTTGATTTATTCCTAGTTTTACATGAATTGTTTAATCATATTTTACGATTTTTTTTTCAGAAATATAGAATTTTGTCTCAGTACCCACATTACTGTATATTTCTCGGTGTATAAACACTAAGAGTTCCTGTTTTAGGTATTAAAATAATCTTGATCGATGTTGTGCAAAGTAAATGAAGCTTTAATGACCTTTGTGCAGTTGCTAGCATTTAATTACCTATCAGTCAGATCATACCTGAAGTTTACTTATAATAATAATAATAATAATATATTTACTACAGGTATACTTGTAGTAAATATATATACCATGTATACTACATGGTATACAGGTGGCCCGGTGGCCAAAGCTCCCGCTTCACACACGGAGGGCCCGGGTTCGATTCCCAGTGGGTGGAAACATTTCGACACATTTCTTTACACCTGTTGTCCTGTTCACCTAGCAGCAAATAGGTACCTGGGTGTTAGTCGACTGGTGTGGGTCGCATCCTGGGGGACAAGATTAAGGACCCCAATGGAAATAAGTTAGACAGTCGTCGATGACGCACTGACTTTCTTGGGTTATCCTGGGTGGCTAACCCTCCGGGGTTAAAAATCCGAACGAAATCTTATCTTACAGGCCTAGCTGACGTCGATGACATAGTACTATATAAAAAGCCCCTTGTTATGCTGAACAGTTCGGGCAAATTAGGTCAGTTTTGTCCCAGGATGCGACCCACACCAGTCGACTAACACCCAGGTACCCATTTTACTGATGGGTGAACAGGGACAGGGACAGTAGGTGTCTAATGGGAACACGTTCCTTGAAGGCGATTTCCTGAGTCATCTCCCCCGTGGCCTGGTAAAAAACCAGGTTTCTTTTTACTTATAATTAATTTTCGCTTAAAAGAAATTCAGTGTGTAGAGCTAACTGGAACAGTGATGAAATGAATATAATTATAACTTTTTATTGGTAAAAGCTGGAATAAAATAGTTCCTCGTAAAAGTTTCCGTTTTCTTATATGAGCATTTTCTATTATTCAGGTGGTAGGGGATACTCATACATATTTTCGCTTTCAGTATCCTTGGCGCTTATTATTCGTTTTGTTACTTGTAAGTCCCTTTTTGATCCGCTGTTCATGCGTGTTGTAAAAGAGAAACATACTATATTTATGCTATCAAAATGAAACGACTATATAAGATATAATATAATTATATAAACTGAAATATAATTAAAAAATACACAGCCTCAATTTGGTTAAAATTCTGTTAACATGACACTTCTGCTTATAACTAGTTGAATAAGACTTGGGCAAACTAGTGACGGAAGCATATGGCCAGAGAGCCATTCCAAAACAAATTGTTCTTTTGAGAGATTAGCAAAATTTATACATTTATTTTGGGACATACAGAACATTAAGGCCAATAAAAGGTTAGCATTGACGCTCGTGGCCAGTGACAGCTAATGTAGACACAAAGGTGAGCCAGTTTCATATATACCGCTGGCGGAGTAAGGTTAGGTTATTTAAGCTTAGACTAGGTTTTTGTTTCTTACATTTTCACAATATAAAACAGTGGCCATGACAAAACTAACCTAATATTGGACATTATTAATAAATTTTGGTCAGACTCGAAATTATAATCCTAAGCTCTAAACCCGTAAGGGTCATACATCGTAAACTCGCAAAAGAATCCGATATTAATAAGTAAAAAAAATGCACGAGTTCTGCCTAGTAGTAGACAGAGTATAGGGTGTTGAGTCTGCCCTGGAATTACATATCTTTGTGCATATTTTGGGTAAGGCCCCTTGTTATCCATTATATGGATCCCTCAAGGGAAGTTGCTTGATGCTGGTGAGGGGATCTTAATCCAAAGAATTGGAATTGATATCCTCTTCCTTGGATTGAACCCGATTGCCCCTCGTTACCTAGGTACTACATGATTCCAAGGGGTTTAATGCTTCTGTCGTATATATAGCCAGCAGTGTGTAAACCAAACCTCAGACGAAAATTATCTATAAAAGACTGCTTCATTATTGTGTAATAATTTGGGGCAGTGCTACGATATACATACATACATATATACATACATACATACATACTTATACATACATACTTATACATATACATACATACTTATACATATACATACATCTTATACATATACATACATACTTATACATATACATACATACTTATACATATACATACACACATATACATAGATAATACACACATTATAGCTTCTTATTAATACTATGGAGTACACTATATAGTCTTATATTAAAACTATAGTCTTATATAGGGTGTAACTGTTACATTCCTATCTTGGCTAATAGACAAAAACTTAGTTATACAGTATAATGCTGCATGCATATGTAGAGGACAGCATAGTGGTAGGTAGATTGTGTGTACCACAGCCACTGTGTAATAGCATTCCTACTTGCAGGTTCCTACACAACAACCGTCTCCAGAGGGTACCCCAAGGTGCCTTTGCAAACCTCCAAGCACTTAGACGACTGTAAGTATTAATACCACTTTAATTATTACATTATTGTGTTTAAAATTAGTATGAATGAGGAACATCTTGTCTACAGTAGTGTACACTGATAAATTAGACACATGTGCAACTCTTGGGTATCTTTATTGAGGAAACGTTTCGCCACACAGTGGCTTCATCAGTCCATACAAAGGAGAAACGTGAAGAACAGGAGAAGAATGAGCTAATCAGTCCCTCAACCTTGAGTCGATGTGGTCAGTCCATCAATAAAGATACCCAAGAGTTGCACATGTGTCTAATTTATCAACGTGTCGGTTCTCTGAACCATTCATCTACAGTATTTACACTGTCACATTAACTCTCTTCTTAATTGCAGGCGACTGGACTCTAATGCCCTGGTGTGCGACTGTCAACTGATGTGGCTGGCCAATATGGTGAAGGAAAAACAACATACTACTCAAGTTGCCGCCACTTGTCAGTTTCCGTCAGTGCTTCAGGGCAAGAGCCTTACTTCCCTGAATGACTCAGAGTTTGAATGCCGCGGTGAGTCCTTCCCCAGGAATGTTGTTGCCCAAGAATAAAAGATGATGAGAAAGTTAGAAGGCACAGTAGCATGAGAGTTTCACTAGGCTTACATGGTTAAGTAATAAGTAAGATGTTGCAATTGAATTTCCAGGAAGTTGATTGATATCATATGGTTAGAGGGAAGTAGTTGGTACAATGATTAGGGGTATGAATGGTGTAATGGGGAGGAGATAGGGTAATGATTAAAGGGGAAGGGGCAGAATAGGAGGTGTACTCAGTGCAGAAATCCTGAAGGTGTAAGTCAAAAGAAATAGAAATCAGGTGAGGCAGGAGTCCATTGAAGTGAGCAATACAGGGGGTCATTAAGGGGCACATGTTACAAACATATTCACAAAAGTATACTAATCTTTTAAGGGTGATACTACATCAGAGAAAAAAAAGTTTAGACACTACTCTAGTGTTGGAGGGAGGGAGGGAGCAAAATAGGTTTTGTGGGCGAAGGGCTTGGACTTCCAGCAAGCGTGCATGAACGTGTTAGGAGTGAATGGAGACGAATGGTTTTTGGGACCTGATGAGCTGTTGGAGTGTGAGCAGGGTAATATTTTGTGAAGGGATTCAGGGAAACCGGTTAGACGGACTCGAGTCCTGGAAATGGGAGGTACATACAATGCCTGCACTTTAAAGGAGGGGTTTAGGATATTGGCAATTTGGAGGGACATCTAAGCTGTCGTATCTGAGCTCCTCTGCAAAGACTGTTATTATGTATGAGTGATGGTGAAAGTGTTGAATGATGACAAAAGTTTTTTCTTTCTTTTTGGGTTTTTCTTTCTTTTTGGGTCACCTGCCTTGGTGGGAAACGGCGGACGTGTTAAAAAAAAAAATGTATAGTTCATTAAAAAATCTTAAAACTTACAAAATAATGTTGTATCAAGTGCCTAAAAGGAAGATGGAATGTTAATTTAAGGATAACAGATGTTCAGAAAGGCAAGAACCACAAGGGTGAGGGGTCATGGACACATGGTAGCACATCATGTGGTTATTAAGGATTTACAAGGCCATTAGTAACTTACACCAATTCAAGCCCTGCTTCCCAGTGTCTGGGGAAGAAATATTGCCCAAAACTGGTCAGAAAGAAAGAGAACAAGTTCTCTTTGAAAATAGAAAAGGAGCACTTAGGTCACATTTAATTCAGGTGGATTCACTTGTCCAAGTCTCCGCAGAATGGGACACCAACATTCCCACCTTAGTAACTGATTTTTCTTCAAAATCATAAAATATTCACAGTGGGAAAATGGAGTTGATGAATGGTGCCCCAGCCTTTTATGTGCTCAATGGGTAGAATAAAATGAGGGCAAGTGTTTCAGGGACAGTGGGAGAAATTTGTTACCGTTGCTGAGGCAAAAGCAAGACGTCTGCACACCACTCAGACAAGCATAAGCCCTAGCACCCACATCAGCTGTTAAATTAGTAGGGGTAGAGAGTATTTCCTAGTTCTCATTATTAACCTGTATACTGTTGGTCACACAGGTAAACCATTCATCAAGGAGGGACCCACTGATGTGGATGTCAAATTCGGAGGCACTGCGTATTTCACATGCAAAGTTGATGGTGATCCACAGCCTGAGGTCGTATGGTTCCATAAGTAAGTGGTGAAAGATGAAAGTGTATTGGACATTTGTTGATGAATTATTTTGCATGCACTTTAAAGGAGGGGTTTGGGATATTGACATTTTGGAGGGACTTCTAAACTGTCGTATCTGAGTGCCTCTGCAGAGACGGTGATTATGTGTGAGTGGGGTGAAAGTGTTGAATGATGATGGAAGTATTTTCTTTTTGGGGATTTTCTTTCTTTTTGGGTCACCTGCCTCAGTGGGAGATGGGCCGACTTGTTGAAAAAATAAAATGACCATTACAGCAAGTAATGATTGGCATGAAATTACCTAGCTGCTCTTCATGGTCAAATCATACTTTTTCTTTTATCTGTATTTTTAGAGAAATAACTGAAAAAATAAATATGGAAAATTCATTAGTGGAAGTGGAATATTTATGCATAGCCAAAGTAATTTTTTTATGCATATATGACTGCCTCGGTGGGAGACGGCCGACTTGTTAAAAAAAAAAAAGAAAAAAGAAATGTAGACAATAAATATCTTAACTAAGATTTACAAGACTGTAACTTGAGAATGAAACTGTATTTAATTTTACATCTTACTGAAAAATCAGTGGAAAAATAAAACGCTGACCTGAATATCTTTTACAACTTTATTAACAAGAAAAGATAAATATGGAGACAAAGTCAGTAGTTTTCTTTTAAGCTATAATGTACATAAATTAAGAAAAATAAGTTCTGGTAACATATATGGGTAGTATCCAAACAAGCTGTTCTCGGCTACTTCAAAATTTTCGCCATTTTGTACGTATATGTTGAATATATAGTACATAATTGTTTTTTCTTATGTAATGCTTTGGTAAAAGTATATGAATATTTCAATGATATACTTCTCCCTTACAATTTGTGCCTTTGTTGCTTTTTAATTTAAACAGGGGTGTAGTTCATAATATGTAAGTGATTTGGGTCGTGAGTTTGCAGGTAAATTGATCTAGCTGCAAGGTATACAGTTCAAGGTGCATTACAATGATATTGTACTGTATCTTTTATGTATTCAGTGATGCTAAAAAATTCTTGATTAAATTTTTAAATTCAAGACAGTTATGATATGATATATTTTACATCACAGTAATGAGGTGATAGGTGACAATGAGCGCTACAACATCCTCACCGATGGAACGTTAATGATTGAAAACACCCAGGATGATGACGTGGGATTTTATGAGTGCATGGCCACAAATCCCATGGGGGAAGTTAAATCTCGTAAAGCTAAAATGGCACCTGAAGAGCAGCAGGATGAAGTCAGAGATGAACATTGTAAGTAAGATTAATGAAAATGTTTATATTAGTGTAATATACCTCATTTAATGTGCCTCAGAGTGATTTATTATTGTGTATTATTATTATTATTATCATTATTAATATGGTGTCCTCAAGACTAATAAGACACTTAGTGATTTTAATGTGTACCTGCATGCCAGCACTGTGTAAGTTTATTTAGGTACAAGTATGCAAAAGTACATATAGTATATTGACATATATTTTCATATCTGGAAAAATACTCAAAATTGTTGCACCACTGTTCAGTTTCAGCTCACGTCAAGCCTCGTTTCCTTCGGCTGCCAAGTGATGTGAATGTGACTGAAGGTTTGCCTGTTGAAATAGAATGCCAGGCATCGGGAATTCCCAAACCTGATGTCATATGGACAAGAAATGATGACCCAATAATTGAAGGTCCAAGGATTCAGGTTGGTGACCATTATTCATTATCTGATAAGGTTCATGTATACAGTACAAGGCCTCCAGCCATGCTCATATTATTTACTTATAGACCTTATTTTACTTTAGGGATATGCTAAAAGGTATATGGATTATTGTAGTGCGTATTAATAAAGATTCTTTCAAATATGTATTTGAAAATCTTGGTTCCTTCCATCTTTGTTATAAATTGTGGACAGGTACTTACACTGTACAGTACGGGTTCTTTCTGATTCTTAGGGTTAAACAAAGTTCTCTGCAGCATAATAACTCTGTATGACCCTTGTAGGTTTAGTGCTTCTTTTTGATTATAATAATAATGATACAGCATAATGGTTGTATCTTTTAAGTCACATTTCATTCATTTCTAGTTTCTAGTCACTTTCATTTGTTCTCAGTAAACAAATGGACATACATGTATTATCATAGACATTGATTTGTTGCTGGAAGCTTTACCTCCCAATGTATGTGGAGGAAACATTTCTGTGGAAATAGACAGGGAATGAAGCATTCCCAGTTAGGTTGAAACATATTCTCTATCATTTATTATGCCATTACATTTTCCTTCATTATATCTTGAATGTTTTATCATTCACTTTTTTATCATTTCATTAATAAAAAATGGCAAGCTGTCATGCCCCGTTCTCTTGAACCTATATTGTCATATCAATTATTTCTGCATGATGACAACACAAAGTAGAATTAGGACTTAATCTGTTTATTTATGCATATGTACAGGTATCTAGTCGTGGGACATTTTCCATCTCCTCAGCGATACGAAATGATTCCGCGACCTATCGATGTACTGCAGCTAACCACCTTGGTCGAATTGCTGCAACTGCTACCCTTAGAGTTCTTGGTAAATAGATTTCATGGATTATTTGCATGTTATACTTTTATAGCCTCTCCTCACTTAACGATGGAGTTCTGTTTTTGAGACCACGTCGTTAAATGAATTCATCAATAAGTGAGGAGCATACTATAATGGTAATGAGTTTGTGTCAACCATCTTTGACATTATTTTAATGTCACCTTTGCACCATTTATAACATTTCTGGTATATTTTTAAATTTTTATGCGGTAGTGTACTGTATGCTGAAATAAACAGAATAGAGGAAATCAGCTCTAATATACATTATTTGGGTATGAAACTGTCATAGACCCCTATCAAAAAGTCCATGGGTCGGAAAAGGGAGTTGTCATAAGTGAGGAGAGGCTGTTTATCCCTCCTGCTAACTTATAAATTTAAAAAGAAAAATTTTTTTTTCCCCCTTTTTGGGCACCCTGCATCGGGGGGAATTTCCCGTTTATTTTAAAAAAATGAAAAAGTACAGTTCTCTGTTTATATTATTTCTCAAAATCTTTACCAAAGCCTTCTGCCCTTCCCATCAAGGTCTTTTCCTTATTGTCACTATCTCACTTGTCCAGATTCTCAGAAATTAGCAGTAATTCTTCTTCTGTCAAGAGGTGTGGCAGTAACTATCAAACAAAAAAACTTGTATTCAGAGTTTATCATTAAAAATATATAAATTTTTCATAATTTAAGCGCCTCCTTCATGGTCACAACACAATGAGTTGTGCAGAGCTCTGTGAAGAAATTCTTGGATAATTGCATTAACAAGTATATGTGAAAAGAATGGGAGCACCTTAGGTCTTTAATAAGGGGATAGTTTAAAGAAGGATCAAAATAATGAAAGAAGTAATAATTAGAATAGCCAGTAATGAGAATTTCGGTCCAAGTCGGACCGAAACGTCGTCGTAAGCTTCTCTCTTTTATGTGCGGGTTATTTGTGTAGGTTTTTGTCATATTTGATAGAATTAAAAAGTGGTAAAAGGTAAAGATAAGGTAGTAGGTTGGTAGACAGCATCCACCCAGGGAGGTACTGTTGTCCTGCCAAGCGAGTGTAAAACGGAAGCTTGTAATTGTTTTACAGGATGGTAGGATTGCTGGTGTCTTTTTTCTGTCTCATAAACATGCAAGGTTTCAGGTATGTGCTTGCTACTTCTGCTTACATTTAGGTCACACTACACATGTATGTACAAGCATATATATATACACACCCCTCTGGGTTTTCTTTTATTTTTCTTACTGGTTCTTGTCCTTGTTTGTTTTCTCTTATCTCTATGGGGAGGTAGAACAGAATTCTTCCTCCGTAAGCCTTGTGTGTCACAAGAGGCGACTAAAATGCCAGGAGCAAGGGGTTTGTAACCCCTTCTCCTGTATATATTACCAAATGTAAAAGGAGAAACTTTTGCTTTTCCTTTTGGGCCTCCCTGCCTCGGTGGGATACGGCCAGTGCATTGAAAGAAAGAAAGAGGTGTTAATAAATGTAATAGTACAGCACTAATTAACAATCACTCAATTATATCGTAACACAATTAAATGTATGGCGAATATGTTTATATACAGTAAGTGTTGATTGTTTTATTATATCTTCTGTTTTATTTAATATATTCCAGTTGCACCCAAGTTAATAGTAGAGCCTGATGACAAGTATGCTAGTCCAGGTTCAAGCATCCAGTTCACATGCCAGGCTGATGGGGTTCCCCCTCCCATCATCTCCTGGTTTAAAGATGGTCAACCCATTGTTCCTTTTGGAAGTCTGACTATTTCTTTACATGGTGAGTTCTGAAATATGCAAATTAGAGTAACTTTTTTTTTTTGGCATAGAACATATTACTCTTGATAAAATCTTTGTTCATTATTTAAAGACATAAAAACATGGTTAAAGAACTACACTATAATTATTTCAGAAATGACAGGTGAATATACTTATAATGACCTGTTTGAGTTTGCAGGGGATGAGCCCTGCTATTTATCCATCTGATATGATTGAGCCATGTCTTATCTATTTTTGAACCCTTGTATGAAACTTGCTTCCACTGTGTTACTGCTTAGCTTCACTTTTTTGTCACTCTTACCTTAAAGAAATATTTCCTAATGTCCCTGTGGTTCATGTGGGTGTGTAATTTCCAACTATGATCCTGTGTTCGTGTTTTAGGTATTAGTCAAGTGCTGTGAGTCACATCCTGGGTTGTGGAAAACCATAATTGTGGCCAAACTCTGACATGAACCAACATAGGGTAACAGCTCTTAGCCTTTAACGATAAACTGTGTAAAAAATATTGGATGAGTATTGTTCATTCATTTAAACAAACACTAAAGTAATTGTATGCTTATGCAGGTATTAGTCTTGGCGTGCAGCATGTTAAACCTGCAGATGAGGGAGAATATACCTGCCGTGCTCAGAATGCTGCAGGTATGCAGGAAGCATCAGCAACACTCTATGTTCGGGATAAGGTAAAAATAAATGTAATCACCTGATTAATAGATTATTTTGTTATGTAAGATGTTTTACACACCATGAGTAACATGTACAGTGATCTATAGTTTCATCTTTTAAAATATTAAAAGTATAGTATGTGAATAATTCATCATTATAATTTTTCCTCCCTTCAAGGGGGGGTGCAGTGATGCTGGTGGAAGATTGATTGGAGCTATTCTCCCCTTCCTTGGATTAAATCTGATTATTTCCTATTCCCTGTACTCTGACCCACATGGATTTAAAGTTTTCCTATTGATATATACTGCACTGTATTATTTTTTTTCAAATATAGTTGTCTTACTAGGTAGCTCCTGTTATACGCAAAGAACCTCGAGATGTCTCAGCAGTTACAGGTCAAGAAGTAATTGTGTTCCTTGAAAGCTGATGGTCGACCAAAAAACCTTTAAATTAGTTGGGGGAAGGGTTTTCAACTAGGGAAGCGATAACAAACATAGGTAGGCAACAGCAGCTCTCTAGTTACTTTTCAAGGATTTAAAACCTTGCAATGAATTCTTGAAATACTGTGGAAATTAAGCAGACCTAAAATCTCATTGGGTCCTTTGAATATTTGCACTATTTTGCACACTTCACACATGCTTGCTTGTGTTAAATCTATTAAGCAACTCCACTATCCATTCTGTAGCTGTCAGGTCCCCCGGGGTATGTCCTAGGCTCACTCCTCTTCTCATCTACATCTGTTTCCCCCCAATGCATCTCTACTCCTTAAACCGTTCTGTTTGCAGACAACACTACTTGCTCCCCCACTCAAACCCGCTATACCTAGAACACGAAAAAAACCCAAGGGCTAAAAATATATATTTTGGATATGACCAATAAACTCACTCTCAACATAGACAAAACAACTTCATGCTGTTTAAAAACAGCCTTAAATACCAACTTAATTGTCACGATAAATGGCTCCCTGTACTGTACTAAATTGATTCTTTCCCAGTTTGGAGGAGGGATCATTTTTTGTATACAATGTAAGAAGATATGCGGGGTGTATGAATGTAGCGCTCAGAACCATGTTGGGTTGCCACTCCCAACGCTAATTTAGTACAGGTAAGGGGATTAATGTTTAGATCACGTCTTTGTTCATCCCCAAATTTTCTTGCTAAGGGGGGTGAGGGGTAAATGTGGTATCACGCCTTGCTCAGGCTAGACAAAAATTTTGAATCTTAGAATATTTATTTATTTTTTATCCACGGGTTTCCCCCCAAGGCAGGGTGGCCCAAAAAGAAAAATTTTCACCACATTCACTCCATACTGTTTGCCAAAAGGGGTGCTTTACACTAAGTTTTTTAAACGCAACTTAACCCCCCCTCCTTCAGAGTGCAGGCCGACTTCCCATCCCGGGATCAAGTCCGGCCTGCCGGTTTCCCTGAACCCCTTCTAAATGTTACTTTGCTCACACTCCAACAACGTCAAGTTTTAAAAACCATTCGTCTCCTTCCTCCTATCAAACACCTCACGACGCCTCTGGAATTCCAACCCCTCGCACCAAAATTTCCCTTTCCCCCTCCCTCCAACCTTTCCCCGGGCCACCCCTACCCCCCCTTTCCTTTCCACTACAACTGATACACTTTTAAAGTCATTCTGTTTCGCTCCATTCTCTCTACATGCCAAAACCACCCAACAACCCTTCCTCAGCCTCTGGACAACAGTTTTGGTAATCCGCACCTCCCCCCTAACTTCCAAACTACGAATTCTCTGCTTTATATTCCACCCCCAAATTGCCCCCAGACTAAAACTCCACTCCCTCCAGCCTTCTCCCACTGAACATTCTCCCCCTGCTTCACCCCTATAAGATGTTGGTAAAACTATATCAAACATTCCCCTCTTCCCTCCAAGGACAAAGTTTTTGTCTCCACGGGACTCCTAGTGCACCACTCATTTTTTTCCCCCCTCATAAATTTCTAGATTCACCTCATCCTTCATAGCCCCATCCCGAAAACTCCACCCCCAAAATTGAATACTTTTCACCTCCTCCATACTCTCTCCCCCCAATCGATATCCAATCTTTCATCCCAAATATTTTTGTTATCCTCAAACCTACTCTTTCCGTATTCATTTTAAAATTTTCTTCTTTTGCACACCCTCCCAAAAATTAACCACCAATTTTGCACTTCTCTTCGAATCCCCAAGAGCACAGTGCCATCAGAAAAGAGCAACTGTGACAACTCCCCTTTATGTGTGTTCTTTATCTTTTAACCCCACGCCTTGCCCCGACCCCGCTTTATTTCCCTTTTACAACCCCATCTAAAATTTTTAAACAACCAGGGTAATCCACCATCCTTGTCTAAGGCCATTTTTAAAAAACGGGGAAAAAATTTTCCCCCTTTTTCCTATGTACTCAAATTTGAGCCTCACTATCCTCGTAAAAACTCTTCACTGCTTTCATAACCTACCTCCTACACCATACACCTGAAAACACTGCCAATTTGGGCCCCCCCTCCCCCCTGTCATACCCTTTTCCAAACCCATAAATCCACAAAGACCTTTTTTAGCCTTATCTAAATACTGTTACTTATATGTTTCACTGAAACACCGGGTCCACACACCCCACCTTTCCTAAAGCCCCCTTGTTCATCTCTATCCTTTTCTCAGTTTTACTTTTAAATTTTCTTTCAAAAATAACTCTACCATACATTTTACCAGGTATACTCAAAACTTACCCCCTATAATTTTTGACTTCTTTGCCCCCTTTGCCTTTATAAAAAGGAACATGCTGCCCCCCCAAATCCCTAGGCCCTTACCTCTCCATAATTTATTAAAAAATTTGCCCAACCACCCCAAAAAACAAATTTCCCCACCGCTTTTAACATTTCTATTTTTTCCCCATAACCCGGCTCCCTTTACCCCTTTATTTTACCACGCCCACGAACTTCCCCCACACACACTGGTTTTTTCCCTCCCCCTACAAGATGTTTCCTCCTTGCCCTATACACGAAATCACAGCTTCCCCCTCTTCATCAACATTTAACAAATTTCCCCAAATATTCCCCCCATCTTCCCAATCCCCAAAATCTCCATTTAATAACTCCCTCTCCTATTTTTAACTGACAATCCATTTGTTCTTAGGCTTCCTTAATTTTTAATCTCCTCCAAAAACTTTTCTTTTTTTCAACAAAATTTGTTGATAACATTACCCACCTCTCATTTGCTCCTTTTTTTCATTTTCTTCACCACTCTCTTAAAAACCCCTCCTTTTTCTCCATATACTTCCCCCCTTGCATCACTTCTACTTTTAAAAAATCTCATATCTAATTTTTTTTCCCTTTTTAAATCTCTTTAAAATCTCATTCCACCCAAACGTTCCTCTTCCCCCCCGCACCCACTTTCCTGTAACCCCAAAATTTTGCTGAAAACCTAACACTACAATTTTAAACTTACCCCCTAAAATCTTCAAACCCCCTTGCCTATACTCTCATTTGCCCATCTATCCTCCAATAGCTTTTTTAAATTTTTCCCAACTGCCTCCTCTTTAGTTTAAAACCTTCCCCCTCTCTTCCCTGGCTTCTATTCTCCTTTTATCCATCTACCTTTTACTCTCAGGGAGCTACAATAGAAAGTGATCTGATATATCTGTGGCCCCCCTATAAAAATGTACATCCTAAGTCTATCAACATTTTTTACTCCAATACATAATCCAACAAACTACTGTCATTTGCCCACATCATTTTGTATACTTATTTATCCTCTTTTTCTTAAAAAAAATTTTTCCTATAATAAACCCCTTTTTATACAAAGTTCAATCAAAGGGGTCCCATTTTTATTTTCACCTGACACCCCCCCAAAATTACCCACCACAAACCCCCTCTAAAAGTTTTCCTACTTTAGCATTCCCCCCAAACCCCAATTACTCTCTCACTTGGTTCAAGGGTCCTATACATTCACTTAAAATCTCCCAAAATCTCTCTCTCTCCCCTGCATTCCTCTCTTCTCCAGGTGCAAACCCCCGCTTATTATGACCAATTCCCCGATCCCAACCTTTACTTTAATCCACATAATTTTTTATTTAACATTCATATTCTCTTTTCTCCCTCCATAACTGATCATTTAAATTACTCTACCCCCCTTTCCCTTTTCTCTAACTCTCTAGTATTTCCCGATTTAATCCCATTTATTTCCCCCACGAAAACCCCCCACCCCCTTCAGCTTTGTTTTCCTTTGGGCCAGGGCATCCCTTCTTTCATTCATAAATCAGCAATCATTGTTTCTTGTCATCCGCACTACATCCACGCACATTTAAGCATCCCCCGTTTTATAAAGTTTTTTTTTTCTTTTTTAGTAAATGTCTACGGAGAAGGGTTACTAGCCCCCTTGTCCCGGGGGTTTTATCGCCCATAGACACCATGGCTTACGGAGGAAAGTTCTTTTTTTTCCCCCTGGACAATAGAAAAAATAAAGAAGAACAAGAGCTATGTAGAAAAAGGAGAAAACCTAGATGTATGTTTTATTTTTAATATGCAGTGGTGTCTGTGAATGGGGACCAAAGTGTAAGTTTTGGGGTAGAAGATATCCCTGTTATCTAGCTGTTTATGGGGCAGAAAGACACCAGCAACCCCCCATCTGCAAAAAAATTACAGGTTTTTGTTTCACAGTCTCTGGGAGGACGGTAGTACTTCCCTGGGGGGGTTGCTGTCTACCAACCTACTACCTGCTTAGAATTGGAATGTATTTTAGCAACTCATTTAGTAATTTTGCAGAATTACTGTACTTTTAGAAGTGATCCATAATTCTTTGATAAAAATAAATAATCTAAATTTTTTTAGCAAGTTGGATAATATAATTTTTCAACTTTTATAGAAAGATTTTTAATCTTTTAAAAGGTCACCATGTATGTAGTGCTGTTAAAAAATGGATTATTTTCAGAGGACCCAAGCCTCATATCGGGGACCCGTTTCGCCAGAGTTTTTAGAAGCGCGTCACCAATTAAAGAGCTGTCAATGACCTAAAGTTTATTGTTCTATATTTTTAAAAGCCTAAGTTTTTTCTCTTCCCTTTCCAAAAACATCATAAAAGGGGCTTCTTATGAATGTACATCAGTACCTACATATTGTTAAAACTAATCTATCTAGAACTGTACCAATATACTGTTATACTAGTAAATAAGTTAGGTCCAAGTGGTTTTACAATATTACTTACTCCAAGCCAGTTTTTCAGCGTGACAGGAGTCGTTCACCTCATCCTCATGAGTTGCTTCGCATATTCCGTTTCCCTTCTTCTGATGGACGGGAGATAGCAAGGGCGACTGAAATGATTGAGCAGACTCTTAAAATTGTAATGAGGCATGTGGAATCAGGCATGGTGTTTAATCTTACAAGTGAGTTAAGAATGAAAACTTGCTGTGAAAAAGTAATCAACTTTTTGTACACTATAAAAATATCCACTAAATATAATTTAGTTATATAATAATTTGACTATAGCATATTTTATATTGGATTCATTTAGTCTTATTGGCTGGCATTTTAGACAGATTCTCTTCAATGTGTCACCAAAAGCATATTAAAAATTAAGACCAAGATTATCAAGAAAAGCTGTTCTAGATATAGAAAACCCTTTATGTATCACTTATCTCTAAATGCACAGAAATATATACTGAAATAGTGATTTTGTTCAAGTCTTTTACAAAAATGTACAATAGAGGTTTAATAAAAATAGGTAAGTGTAACTATAGTAAATGTATATAGTACTGTATGTGTCTATGGCACCGACATTCACATTGCTGCACTTTTGGCAGCGTTCAGCTACCAGGATCTTCTTTCTCCTGAAAAGTTGTATTTGCTGAGGAACCTCTCTGGGTGCTTGGCACATCGTCGAACGGTCTACTGTGATGACATGTGCTTTCATGCAAAATACCGCACTATTGATGGCACTTGCAACAATCTCCGCAACCCACTGTGGGGAGCATCCTTGACGGGCTTCAGACGTGTTTTGGCTCCTGTTTATGAAAATGGATTTAATACACCTGTTGGTTAGTCACTGGTAAAGTTATATAGACTAAGAAAAAATATTAATTTATGTACAAGATAAGCCCTAACAAGATTTTTTTTTTTTATGGATTGATAGACACATTCATGTAAATTAACATGGTAAGCAAGTTTTTATTATTTTAACCAAAAACTTGGCAGTCTCACCTAATCTTGCTAAAATGTACATACAGTGATACCTCGCATATCCAGCCTGTCATTATCTGAACCTCGCCAGTATCCGAACAGGCCCTGGGAAAGGGCAAAATTTTAAAATTATTACCAAAACATCCAAACAGCCGTTCAGATACTGCAGAAGGCTGAATCAAAGTTGTTGCACACTTTAGTGTACCGGTTGCCACTAGGAGCTGCACTCTTTGCCTTCCTTTTAGCATTATTACAGCTGTGTTTTGTCCTAGCTGTCTTGTGTATGAAACCAAAGAGGGCCAGGAATGTGCTTACTCTAGAAAAAAAGAGGGAAATATTGTCTCACATAGATGCAAGTTGGTCCAAGGCTGGGGAAATACTACAGAAGACGGCTTGAAGGACTGGCTAGAATGTGACAAAGATGGCCCTAGTGTGCAATCTCTGACGGATGCAGAAATTGCAGAATCAGTATTGCACCCAAAACATTCTGAAAGTGACGACGACGACCCAATGCCTCCAAGACCAAAAACTCCAGCAGCAAGGCCAGGTGTTGAAACACTTTTGGAGTATTTGGAGCATCCACTGTCCACAGCCCATTTGAAAAGTTATGGTCCTGTGGTCTGTAAAATCCGGGAGGCTGTTATTCAAGCCCAGAGTGTCTGGTTCCACTGCCAGATGACAGTATCTGGTCCTACCGCCAGACGACAGTATCTGGTCCCACTGCCAGACAACATTGGACTTGTTTTTTAAACCTACAAAGCTGTCACTGATGGTGATATGACGGGGTAGGGATAGCGATATGATGGCACGGATGCGCATTTTTTCCCCCTCATGTATCCGGAAACTCCATGTTTCCAAACCAGTCTCGGCCCATATAGTTTGGATATGAGAGGTATCATGTAATATGTAATGCAATTTAACCATACCCAATCCATCTAAAGTCATCCATAATTTAGTTAGCAATATATATTAATCTCTTAATATTAAACTAATATAAGCTTGTCTTACTTGACAAAAACAATTTTTTTTACCAGTGTGTGTACATACTTGCCTTTTTGGGGCTACAGGGTTCCCATTCCCCTCAACCCTTGTGTTTAATTGTATAAAAAAGTTATTTATGGGGAAGAAAAGGGGAATTTTAATCCCTTAATTTATTGGGGAAAAAGAATTCCTTTGGGTTCCATCCTTTTTTTTTCAACTCCCACATATTATATTTAAAATTTTTTCATTTGCTTACATTCCTTATTTGCCCCCTTGTATTATCCTTTTTTTAATGTGCCTTTTAAAGGGCTTTTCCATCTCCTTTTTCTTGCCTAATGATTTCAATTTTTTATTTTTTTTTACACACTGGCCATTCCCAAACCAAGGCAGGGGGCCCAGAAAAAGAAAAACTTTCACACATTCTCCATCACTGGCTTAGGGGTTCTTTACACACAGTTTTTAAACTGCAACTTAAACCCCCCCCTTTCGGTGGGGGCCGTACTTCCCTCTCCGGGATAAGCCGGGCCCTGCCGGTTTCCCAAACCCCCTTCAAAAATGTTACTTTGCTCACACCCCCAACAGCACGTCAAGTAAAAAAACCATTGTCTCCTTTCACTCCTATCAAACACCTCACGCATGCCTGCGGGAAGTCCAAGCCCCTCGCACACAAAACCTCCTTTATACCCCCTCCCACCAAACCCTTTTCCTAGGCCGACCCCTACCCGCCTTCCTTCCACTACAGACTGATACACTCTTAAAGTCACTCTGTTTCGCTCCATTCTCTCTACATGTCCGAACCACCTCAAAAACCCCCTTCCCCCGCCCTCTGGACAACATTTTGGAAATCCCACCTCCTCCTAACTTCCAAACTAGAATTCTCTGCATTATATTCACACCACACATTGCCCTCAGACATGACATCTCCACTGCCTCCAGCCTTCTTCTCGCTGCAACATTCATCACCCATGCTTCACACCCATATAAGAGCGTTGGTAAAACTATACTCTCATACATCCCCTCTTTGCCTCCAAGGACAAAGTTCTTTGTCTCCACAGACTCCAAGTGCACCACCACCCTTTTCCCCTCATCAATTCTATGATTCACCTCATCTTTCATAGACCCTCCGCTGACACGTCCACTCCCAAATATCTGAATACATTCACCTCCTCCATACTCTCTCCCTCCAATCTGATATCCAATCTTTCATCACTTAATCTTTTTGTTATCCTCATAACCTTACTCTTTCCTGTATTCACTTTTAATTTTCTTCTTTTTGCAAAACCCTACCAAATTCATCCAAACCCAAACTCTGCAACTTCTCTTCAGAATCTCCCAAGAGCACAGTGTCATCAGCAAAGAGCAACTGTGACAACTCCCACTTTTTGTGTGATTTTTTATCTTTTAACTCCACGCCTCTTGCCAAGACCCTCCATTTACTTCTCTTACAACCCATCTATAAATATATTAAACAACACCCGGGTGACACACACACCCTTTTTAAAGGGCCTATTTTTTTACTGGAAAAATTTCCCTTTTTCCTATGTACTAAAACTTGAGCCTCAATCCTGTAAAAACTCTTCATTTTTTCCCCCCCCCCCACCCAAAACCTGCAAAATCGCCACATGCCCCCCTATCCCCCCTTTCGCCTTTTCCAAATCCATAAAGCCAAAAACCCTTTCTTTTAACTAAATCTGTTCCTTTTAAAGTTTTTAATGTAAAATGGTAAATATTTCCCAAAGCCTTTTTTCCCGTATCCATTTTGTTTAAATTTTTCAAAACTCAAACCTTTTTAGGTTAAAATTTTCCCCCCTTTTTTATTTTTTGTTTTTTAAAAAAGAAATTTGGGGGTTTTTGCCAACCCCCGGTATTTTTTCCAACATTTTAAAAAAATATTTTTTTGTATGACCCCTTCCCCCTTTTTTGGAGTTTGGAAATGAAATTGTTAATTTTTTTTAAAGGGGAAAAATTTTTTTCGGATATTTTTGTAAAATTTTGTGTGAAACCCCAAACCCCCCCGGGAATAAAAAAGGGGGGGATTTAGAAATGGAAAAAGGCAAGGGGAAAAAATTTTTGGGGTCCAAAATTTGGGGAAAAAGAAATTTATGGTAATTAGGGTTTTTACAAAACTTCCGAAAAATTTTTTTGGGAAAAATTTAAAATTAATATGTTTAGGGTTAAAAAAAATGGAGCGAAAAGAAGTTAAATTTTTAATTTTTAAATTTGAGGAAGGGTGTCAAAATATACAGATCAGTTAATCTCCTGAGTTTGTTTCCAAGTGGGTTGTTATTGAGCATGTATTTAATGTGCCTATACACATATATCGCAAATATTTTTTTTGTTTCAATAGGTTGGTCAAAGACAAAAAGATACCATGGGTTCTTCAAGCCCAGTGCAAGATTAGTTTCCTCTAGAATTATTAGCACGGAGGAAGTATCACCTGATCACCATTGTACACACATGTTGATGCAGTGGGGACAGTTCCTTGATCATGACCTAGATCATGCACTTCCTTCTATATCTTCAGAAAGTTTTCATGATGGTGTAAACTGTCAGAGGTAAGTGAATAACAGCAGTCTGCCTAAACTTGAAAATATTTCACTGTATGTACAGACATTTCTTGCCTAAAATAAGTTCCTCAAAAATCTATCTTTAAGCAAAATTATGTTCAATGAAACCATTTCCCCCAAGATTTCCGTCTTTTTTTTTTTTTTTCTTTTGACAAACTGGCCATCTCCCACCGAGGTAGGGTGGAGAGACGGCCAAAACAGTGATGGAGTCACCATCATTGACTCCATCACTGTTTTGCCAGAGTGGTACTGATATTACAGTTCAAAACTGCAAATATCCCCACCCCTCCAGAGTGCAGGCACTGTACTTTCCACCTCCAGGACTCAAGTCCGGCTAACCAGTTTCTTTGAATCCCTTCATAAATGTGACCTTGCTCACACTCCAATAGCATGTTAAGTCACAAAAACCCACTTGCTTCCACTCTCCTATCTAACATGCTCTGCACTGTCATATACAAAATGCAAAACAGGGTAAATAAATTCATTATGATTGTAAAAAACATTGGTGCATTGCAATTCTTCTTTCTATTTGTAAAAGGATGTTCATTTTCTGCTTTATATACACAACCTACACCTTATGGCAATATTTTGGTCCAATTTGGACCATTAACTAGTCACACTAACGTTAATGTGACTAGTCAGTGGTCCAAATTGGACTGAAACATCATCAAAAGCTTCTTTCTCCTATGTGCAGGTTATTTGTGTATTGTTCCAGTCACAGTATTGTGTCTTATTGTCCTTTTGTTTTCTATATACAGTGGACCCCCGCTTAACGATCACCTCCAAATGCGACCAATTATGTAAGTGTATTTATGTAAGTGCGTTTGTACGTGTATGTTTGGGGGTCTGAAATGGACTAATCTACTTCACAATATTCCTTATGGGAAAAAATTCGGTCAGTACTGGCACCTAAACATACTACTGGAATGAAAAAAGTTCGTTAACCGGGGGTCCACTGTATTTCATATGCAACAGATTTATAAATCTGTTATAGTATTCATAGCCTGCATTATTTATGGTATAAAATACAATATTAGTTCTTACATTCCTGGGAAAGTATGAAACCCAAAGGGATCATACAGCACCTGAGGAAATGAGAGGCAGTCAGGTTCTGTCCAAGGAAGTGGAGGTCAGGTTCAATTCCTTGGATCAAGAGCTCTTCACCAGCATCAAGGAACCTCCCTTAACCCTTTCAGGGTCCAAGGCCAAAATCTGAAGTCATGCACCAGTGTCCAAGAAATTTTGAAAAAAAAAAAAAAAAATTATTTTTCTAACAGAATTAAAGAGCATATTTTTGTGAAGGTAATAAAACAAAAAAAAATTAGAATCTGATCAGTACTTACCGAGATACAGTGCCAAGAAGTTTATAGAAAATGATGTGGTGGTGGCAACATCGACGAATTCCACATACGCGTATTATATTATTTTGTTGTTTTAGTTGTTTTTTCTTTTCTTTTCCAATTTTTTTCTATTCCTACTAACATTTGGGGCCTGAGAGACCAATACTGTATATAATTGATATATATAAACTCACTGTATTGAACACAATAACCGCACTAAAGTTATTATCATATTATTGTTTACATGTTGTTTATTACAATAAACATGCTCAAATATTGTATAATACTAATGTTCTATCATTTATTTACACTGGACCATGGTTTTAGAACTGCTGGAGCTTGTGGAACTCCTTGAAACAAAGGGCACCATGCACAGAAGGCACCTTCATTCCTCTCCATAATCCGAGTGTTTTTGCGTCTTTGTTGCCGTCGTTTTGTTTGTTGACGGAATGCATCTCTCTGAGCAAATTCTTTTGAGGTGAAGGAAGCTGTATTATGAAATTGATACTTCTCTCCTCAAAAGCTTGGGTAATATCGTGATGAAATTCGAGGACCATGTTGTATGGCAGGTGTTGTTTACCTGGTACTTCATATGAGTTGTCTGACAACAGACAAACAAAATTCACCATACGTAGTCTGTTACAGTCTTTTTTTGGTAAATTTTAGCATTCGCATTGATCATGTCCATGAGATGGAAGAACAAGTTTCATGTACACTTGTAAATATTTACGGAACACAGTTCAACAAACCCAATCTCATGTCACACTTGTCAACCAGCGCTTGTTTTTTGTGTTATAATTCAGTCACTGACATGGTTTTCGAAATACGTGCAATAGTCACTCGATACTTTGCCCTGTCCCTTGCATTTTCATACGGTGAATGGTTGTCAATCAATGTGACATCTCAGTTTGTCATGCCACCGTAATGCCCATGTCATTGGCAGTTAAACACCTGCACGTCATCACCACGAACACCTGCGTTGAGCCTGGGTTATGTTTTAGAATTTAGAACGCACTGGGGCCCACATCTTCTGTCTTGTTCACTCGCTTGAAATCACTGAGTAAATGGGCTTGTGTACCAGTTTTCGGTTATAATGTATGCGCCCGTACCAAGATAAGGGTGCCATCTTGTTTCTCACTACTCACCTGAGAGACCAATATACATCCTTGGTATCTTTCAATGTTTTACTACCCGTGTAACAACAATATCCAACACCAGGCCACTGTCACAATCACAGAGTACAAACAATTTTTATACCAAGCGGTCCTCCTTTTGCTCGGTATATTACTGCTTGAATGACAGTCTACCTTTGAACAAAATCAAAGACTCGTCTATTACAAGATTCTTGGAATGGTTAAAAGTATATCTGAAACTTTTGTTTGAGATACATGAAAACATTTCTAATCTTGTTTAACCTGTCACTTCTGTCAGGCCTGGTTTTGTCGAGAGTGCAACATACGTAACAGTAAGATAAACCTGTTCACTGGTATTATTTCACTGAAGGATGGGGTAGAAATTAGCCGATCTGTGGACAGTATGCTTTTTTTATTATGCTTATTAGACGTGAGGCTACGCATTATTGTTGCAAAAAGCAAATTACATTTCTGCAACAGTCGTTTCTTTCCACTGTGTAAGTCTTACTGTGGGTGATAAGATGTATTTTTGCCATGGTTGATACTGTAATTACTCATTACTTTCTGGCATATATATTTCCATCTATGGTCTGGGCCAAATGAATAATTCAAAGAATTCAAGTTCATTTGGCCGTTGTTCCAAGGGGACAGGTAGGTAGAATTCCACTTTGAGAGGAGTCATCAAAAGTGGTGAGCGTTGGATTTTGCTGCCAGTCCCACTACGGTTTTGGGGTGGATACTGGGACATCATAGGCTGGTTGTTCGGGTGTGTTGTGGTTGTGGTGGGCTGGTGGTGACGCTCCGCTTTGTCCTTGAACTGACGAGTCAGCAGCGTGTGGTCCCCGCGTGGCACGGTGAGTCAGCATGGCGGTGCCCACTACCACACCAGCACCACTAACACATCCATGATGCCTGTGGCCATCCATGCCAAGTGTAGCACATCATTCCTCACTATTCACTACCTAAAAGGGTTGTAGGGCCACTGAGATGTATCTGGGATGTTTACTCCGTCCCCTTGGGCACAGCATAGGGTACACTACCGAGCGCATGCGGCGGCGAATTACGACGCTTCACTGGTGAATATGATTCCTCAATATCACTACTCGAATGATCGTCGAGGCAATAGAATCCTATCCACGTCAGAATCATCGTCATTACTGAATGTCAGTGGTTCTGGCCACGCGAAAATATTAGTTTTCTTCTTACGTTTAGGAAACACCCGACCGCTGAGTCACGAGTGCCCCACTACTGAGGTGAATGGTCGAGGAATCGTCGGTGGTTTTTCTGCATATTATCGATTTTCCTGGTCATTATTTTCGAGTCACTAACTTATCAAATGCCGTAGAATTTCGTCTTCATTTGCACTTCCATCAGTGTCTGAACTAACAGACAGGAGAGGAGAGTCCCAGTTTTCCGGGGAGTGAGAGCTGACTTCGACAGGCATGGTGAACAAGGGTGACTGAGCCGGCGTTCCCACAATGCTATGCAGGCGCCTAGATTTTTTGTTTACGGCGCACACCCACGGCGCAGACCCATTCTCTCACATGTAGGCCTATGAGCGCTTTCGCGCTAAATTTGACGGTGCTAGAATTTTGGCGTAGATCTACGGTTTGGACACTCACCGAAAAGCCGTAGATCTACGGGACGGACCCTGAAAGGGTTAAAGGAGAAATAAAATATATATACAGAGAATGTATGGGTTATCCGGGAAAGCCAGTGAGTTTGCAAGAGTTGGAATATATTTTCCAGTAGCAGCCAGGGCTTCTCCTTTTTCTGAATGGAATGGGTAGAATCTAAAGAAATTAGTAGACTGTTCAAACTGTTTTTGTCAGTTGTGGCACAGCTGCGATTTACTTGGTGCTCATAGCTCAATTGCTAGAGCACTCGACTCACACACTGAGGTCTGGGGTTCGAATCTCCTCCGGTACAGCTGAAAAACATTAGGGACGTTTTTCTATAAGGCACCTGCTGTCCCTGTCCCTGTTCAGCCATTAGTTTAAAATGGGTACTTGAGTGTTAGTGGACTGGTCTGGGTCGCATCCTGGGACAAAACTGACCTAATTTGCCTGCAATGCTCAGCATAACGAGCGGCTTTCTATATAGTAGTATGTCATTGATGTCAGCTAGGCCTATATACCATGTACATGTACTTGTAATAAATAAAGATATTATTATTATTATTATTATTATTATTTTTTTTTTTTTTTTTTTTCAACAAACCAGCCGTATCCCACCGAGGCAGTGTGGCCCAAAAGGAAAAACGAAAGTTTCTCCTTTTAAATTTAGTAATATATACAGGAGAAGGGGTTACTAGCCCCTTGCTCCCGGCATTTTAGTCGCCTCTTACGACGCGCATGGCTTATGGAGGAAGAATTCTGTTCCACTTCCCCATGGAGATAAACAAGAATAAGAACTAGAAAGAAAATAGAAGAAAACCCAGAGGTGTGTGTGTGTGTATATATATGCTTCTACATGTATGTGTAGTGTGACCTAAGTGTAAGTAGAAGTAGCAATCGTACCTGATATCTTGCATGTTCATGAGACAGA